GTCTTATTTATCTAAGACTCACTTCAAGTGAGTCCGAAGACTCATTTGTATCGAGTCATAGTGACTCACATGATCCTTCAAGTGTTTCGCTGTACGGACAAACCAGTGACTCATCAATTTGAGTAAGGGTGACTCACTTTTTGTTGTGGGTGTAGCGTCGTATTTTTGTAGTCAAGCCCTCAAACCGACTCAAAACAGAATGGAAACCGCCCTAGTTTGAGCCGTATGCTGTCGTTATTCGGTCTGCAGTCGGCCTGTTGTTGGCCTCATTAGTGTGACAGTGATGTAAACTGATGGGGGTATAGAGCATTTCTATTTCATGATTGTGAAGGGAGGCAATCAACCTGTTCATTACCAAGAAGCTTATAATGAGACGCCAGTCTTTTGGTAAAACAGTCAGAGATAGATACCATAAAAGTTTACTCATGATAAGAAATCCCGATAATTAATCAGATGAAGATAATGATATAACAGATCACCCATCCCCAGCGGAGTACACATATCATAATCTGCAAGAGTTAAAGACACGGGCTCTTCTGCAATCTGTTTTATTACCAGACAAAGAAGGCGCTAAAACTGATGTTGAACTTCTAATGACAGAGTGATTGGAGTTGCAAACTCATTTGATAAAACACCATGCGCCTCAGTTTCTAACACCCAATTGGCCGTCATGCAAAGTCGAAATCAATTAATAACTTACCACCTGGCATAATGAAACTGAAAAACAAACACAAATACACACTCTGAAACCATGGAACAAAATGATCCTTTTGAAGAGCCATTCTGAGTTTAGGAACTACGTCAACGCTCAGAGGTAGACGAATATAGCTACATACCAAGTGCAGCTTGAACACAAACTGTACAATTGACCGAACAGACCTAATGCTGCTACCATTATGAGAAAACGAGCAAAATCAATTATGACAGATTCCTCATACACTGTATTTTTTTTTACAAAAGAGTTATGAAAGCATTCCATGGCCTCGCTTTGCCCCGATATTCAAGCTCAGTCGTCACACATATAAACTATTGTGACGTCACTTCTTTTGTCACTTCAACAGAGGTCGTCGAAGCCAAATATATATTGAAGTGATTTCAAGAGCCAATCGTGGTAGAAAAAAAGTGGCGTAACTTTGGGCATAAGTACGGGGGCTGGTAGTTGCACGAGCCCCCAATAATAACGATAATGATTTTTCATAAAAAGAAGAGGAGAAGCATAAACAGAGAGAGAGAAAGGGAAAGGGAGAGGGAGAGAGAGAGAGAGAGAGAGATAGAAAGGAAGGGAAGAGAGGGAGAGGAGAAAGAGATATGTGATATGAAAAATGATACAGCTCCTCCTAAACCGTTTTGTGGGTCCTCCTAGGGTGAAGAGTCTCCTCTCCCAAACCCAACCTTCGATTGGATGCTTCACCAGTCCAGTATAGGATATCTGATACAAGAATGTGCTGGTATATCTATAGATATAATAGTATACGCTTTATACAGGATGTGCTGAACGGATATACATGTACTTGGATGTTGTATTATTATTATTATTATAGGCTTATACCACTTCCAAACCACCGAGTTCGACATCAGATCGACAACAGACCGAGATCAAATAATTCCATTACCCCGCAGGGCCAAGAATCGCTCGGATTGGGGTTGATGTTGGGTCGGTTTGTCGGTGTGAATGGGGTATTACCTGTTATGTTATTTTTTATAGATCCGTTGCTTTTTACAAGTTCCCTATATTTCACATTATTATTTCTCTATGCTACGTGTCTACCCTTGTTTTCTTAATTCATTATTATGCAGTTTCTTGTTCACTCTAGTGAAACAGCCTTGTTATGTGAAATGTGGAGCATTGAAATGAAACAAGCATACAATCACACCCACCACTCATAGCACAGCCACACCGAAACCAACATCATTCGGAAAAACAGCCATGACGTACAGTCCGAAACCGTGGAGAACAAAACATTACCCCGCATCGGTCGGGTTGGAGTCGATTTGGCGGTGTAGCTAGTATATATCACGTGTATTCTTTTTATAGGTCCATTCAAGGGTAAAATCGCACCCACTCAAAATCAAATCATAAAGTGTGATTCAGGGTTTGGGCGCCAAAAGGGGAGAAAATGGGGGGGGGGGGGGGGGTGGTCCGTACTTTTAAAGGAAACCCCTGAATAACTTGCCAACACCTACAGAGGACTCAATGGGAGCACCATGCAGCAGAGCCGTTAAGGAAGCAGTGAGCTACTAAACCATATACAGCCGACCTGAGATTGTTTTAGAGGGGATTTGCGGTAGTGCTTCTAGTACAGTATGGCTTGGGAGCATAGAGGACGTTTGAGAAGGGTTGTCTTAAATTAAGTTCCATTCGGTAGGGCTTCTGTTTTTTTTAATATTGTTTGCCTACCAATGGCGGAACGGATGCAGGAGTTCTTTTATTGCTTTTAGGTGGCTTAAAATTAATGTTCAGGGGATGCCGTTCAGGCTTACGGTTACAATACCTTGATTTACCTTTGCAATGGCAGATTTTAGGTTATACATTTAACCCATGTGTGGTATGTGATATGTATTCATGTGCTCTTGGTATTGGCAGAATATAATTTTGTGGTAATGTTTTGCTGTCATCACGTTAGATTCTAGTAGCAAAAATATAGATAAATTAAGTGCATAAATATATTAAACCCAACATGCAAAGATACGAGCATTCGACCATTTTTTGGAAAAATGACAAATTTTGTATTAATCTATAATGTGTTAGCGTACTTCCCCTTCCCAAAAATAAAAATAGCAACAAGGTAATCGAGGTTAGCCCCCGATAAAAAATTATTTCATTATTTCACATTAAAAGCGATCACAACATTTGTTAGTAGGTCTGAACGCAAAGTGATGTTCATATCTTTCAAGGAGCGTATATACACTATTTACAAATAAACAAAATTAAATCATGTAGCTTCATGTACAACTTCAGACGATCAGTATGACAATAGTTCAGTTATTCGTCAAGTAGAGATTTCAGTAATGCTCAGCAAAGGCTTCTGCGGCTTGTAATATTTCTCATATTGTTTGGAAGATTGTTCCATACTATAGGGGCATATTTTAACCATAACAATTCATTATACACATGTAGACACTTCAACACAACTATCGTTTATACATTAAATCGTTCTTTATGTACAAACAATCAAGATTTCGTTTATATCACAAAAAGAAGACATTGACGTCATCTTTTACCATTTTTGAGAGGCGGTCAGTGAGTTCAAACAGGACAGAAATGCAATTTTACATTGACTTTTGCATACAGACATGTGATCAACTTCCAATTTTCTACATATGTCTATACAAGTCATGTAGAATTCTTTATTAGGATCTTTATATATGACAACAGCCAGTTATATTATATTCAAGATTTTATGTCAATTATGCTTAATGGTCTGTATTTTTACAGTTCAGGTGGACTCGACCCTGGTCTAAAATTACGTTTTAAAAAGGAACAAGTCAGACTTACGATTAACCTCCTATGCTAAACCCGTTTTCACCATTACTAAGCATTAGCAAACCGTCGGGTTTTAATTTTGTTCCGTCTAATGATATTTATTTACTTTCAATACACATCTTCACAAATATATTCTTAAGATGGTCATATAAAATCAGACATAAACAAAAATAAAGTCGACATACATAAGCAAAACTTGAACAAACGTCCTTGTCACAAGTAGACATGTACATGTATATACAATATTTTTACATAATTATGTAAACAATGCATAATGGAATAGCGGTTGGCCAATAAAAAATGAAAGAGAGAGAGAGAGCGAGTGAAAGACAGAAAGTAAGAAAGAGAAAATGAGAGTAAAGAAGTGCATTCAGTTATTATTAAGTGGAACATTAAAGTATGTGGATACTGATGACCATGATACAATTCCTGGCAACTGAGATTTTCATATTGCAGGTAAAGGTTCAAGGATATACATGCTATAACACGATAGCTGTAAGTGAATTCAAATTTCCATGCATAAATACCAATGTTACAGATAGAGGCAAAAGTAATACAAATTGTTTGTCATAATTAGAAAACAGTGTAAGGGCTGGTCAGACCCAATCGACAACGAGACAACGACAACCACATTTCCCACCACAGCCAACCCTACCCACAAAATTGAAGGGTGTATCTCCAATAAAATACCCCGCTATTTCTGAGTTGTATAATTTTTCTAAATGTGTGCAACGTTTGGACAGATGGGGCTCCGCGTCTACTATTTATTTTGCTCTAAAATGTTATATCTTACAATTTGTGCCTTTCACTGATGAACATGAATTTTATTTAGTAATGCAAGAAGTACTAAATGCAGCTTCTAACAAAGCTTAAAAGATTTCTTTTGAAAATGTATAGGCGCCAGTTTTTAATGCTATTGCATGTTTTCATTATTATTCCGTGGTACTGCTTCCAACACTGAGCAATTTTCCTGAGCAATTTTAGTCAGTCAGTCACATCAGCTCGATTCATCCGTGCAAGAAATAACCTGTCACAAATCAGGAGACCGATAACCTACCAAACTTAAAGCCGATATACCGCCAAAGTCTTTTCCATATGGGCCCGTCTGATCGATGCTTTTAGGTTCACGAGACCAATAGCCTACTAGACCAAGAGCCCACGAGACCTACAGCCGATTTACCGACAAAGCCTTTTCCATGGGCCCGTCTGATCAATGATTTTAGGTTCACGAGACCAATAGCCTACTAGACCAAGAGCCCACGATACCTACAGCCGATTTACCGACAAAGTCTTTTCCATGGGCCCGTCTGATCAATGATTTTAGGTTCACGAGACCAATAGCCTACTAGACAAAGAGCCCCCGAGACCTACAGCCGATTTACCGACAATGTCTTTTTCATGGGCCCTTCTGATCGATGTTTTGGGGTTTCAGTAGACTGACGTCTCAGAAGACCGACAGCCCACTAGACGATAATTCTCAATATCTCCAGCTTCATATTTTGTGGTTCGATTGGGCTATCGGTCTCGTGGAACATCAACGTTCTCCACTTCTATATAATATTTTGTTGTGTATTTTCCTTGTTTTGTCGGTCTCGTGGGCTATCGATCTGCTGTGATGACCCCGAAACATCTGGTAAAGTACAATAACACACTGTCAGAAAACTGTACTGCACCCGGTGTAATTTGGCTGTAGCCCACATGACCGACATCCGACAAAACCAACAGCTCACGAGAAAATTATTAATTCATTTCTTGATTTTATCGGTCTCGTGTTGTGCCCTTCTAGTGGGTTGTAGGTCTACTGTAATATCCCTGTATAGATGATTGTCGATTGCTGAGCCGACCATTATGCGGGTGTTCTTTCAGAGCATCGATTCGCTAGTTGTCGTTTTCCAGTCCGATTTTTTCATTGTCACCACGTCTGACGAAGTCGCCCTTGACTTGGAGGACGAAGTTGAGGAGACCCTATCGAGGCATGTACAAGAGTCCCGCCAGAGCTTGAATACACGCTTGTTGCAGATGAAGGCAATGAAGATATAGACTCCCTGGAGAGAGTTGAGGATGATAAAGATATACCAGAGAGCTGTGACGTTAGCGAAGGCAGCTACGAAACCAAAGACCCAGGTGAAACCAAGCAGAGTGGACATCTGTTTCAGGGAGGGAAAGCAAGAAGTAAAGCATAGAACCAATCATAGTTTTAACAATGAATGAAAAAAAAAGAGACGTTTGTAGGCCTGCATGATTATTTCTCAGTATACAGAGAAAAGACATTTCATCCGTACATTATGTTTATATATGCGTATGTTTTTTTTGCACAGAATACACTCGATGATATGATACAAACTCTATTATGGGATGGTATATATTATAAATCTCCATATAAACTATGGCCACGACATTATGTACGATACTCATGATCAATAAGGTGTTATGCTTCCTCTCATAAGATATGTGAATGTAAAAAATACGGTCTTTCAGAAAATAACGACGTATTTTACATACCTTACCCAATATTGTTTCCCCTTTCTCTTCTTTTCACCGGTGTCTCATAAACAAGTTAAACTGTGTATATTATGCCAAGACCTCAGATCTATCTATTCAGTTGTAAACAGTTTTTGTAAAAAGTACTCACCTTGATGTAAATTAAAAGGTCAGATGACGTGTTCGAATCTGTACTCTTGTGTTTGTTGACAGGGCTCATTCTCATGTGGTGAAGACCGGCAACTACCATGACGAACAAAATGAGATTGATGACGAGGAGAGAAGCGACGGGGATTCCAAAGACGTACAAATTGGCCATACCATCACCGATCCAACAGGTAACTGTTTTGTAGGTCAGGTTGAAGTGTGGAAGCTTGGTGCCGCTGAAATAGATTCCAAGGCAAGGACCAACCACAAGTATTGGACATCCCCAGGCAAACAGAAGGAACCTTGAAAGTACAGCAGCGCCCTCATCGGTTCGGCCAAATTTCGTTGCTATGCCGAATCGACGGTGTAAATCGAAAGCAAGAGCCGTTGTGTGAGAGAAAACTGCGATCCACATGAAGTGCCCCAAGATGGCAAATGAGAGGCACGCATTAGAATTCATCGCGGCTAGTCCACTAAATAAGATGATAGATTGGGCGAAGATCAGAGTAATGCAGAGACTCATGATGAGAGTGTTCGACGTAGCTTTCCGAAGAAGGTTGAATTTGAGATAAGTAACAAATGTTACGATAAGAGCAATAATAGACAAGGAAATGCCGATGGTGCTTAAAATAGATTGAGCAGATGAAAAACGAAGAAATACTGCAGCAGACTGCTCACTTACCAAGACGTAAGAGCAAACAAAAATTGTGTCATTTCCAACATCCAGATAGTCACTCGGCGCCAGGGTTCTGTTAAGAGGCGAGTAAAGGTAAGATCCATTGCCCAAATCAACAAATAGTGATATGTTCTGTGATACTAATGCACATGTTTCAGATGGAACCTCGCACCCCTTTAAACTTTCTCGTTTTAGGTTCATTTCCGATGATGAAATATCGTATTCAGTTACATAGAGAGATTCCCGAAGGCTGTATTTCGTTTCCCCAACAACAAATAACTGTCCCGTTGCGTTGTCGTATGATTTCATAAATTTATCTGTAGACAAAATTTTGTTAGAGCAACTTTCATTGATTTTGCTGCATCCAATAGATATCATGAAAGTCATATAGCTGCAGATGTCATTCACAGCTGAGCTTTGTTGGTTTGTTGACAAGAATACACTGTCAAGGTTTTCTTGAGAGACGTCTATATTGATTCCTAGATACCCCCAAATGTCCAAGGTCTGAGAACATTTGGTAAATGAATCATTCTCCTTTATTTCGGCTGTGAACCTACTAATGGTAAAATTCGTTGGGGATATGTAATTTCCATTGATTAAAGATATTACGTAATCGTGTAAACGCACATCGGGATGGCAGTTTGACATGTCTCCAACATTATACATGCACTCCACTTCAATAAAAATAGGGATCGTTTCTTTGAACGAGCAATGGGAATTTGCAGGAAGCCTTTGACAAGTGCCGTTCATGAGATCATACCCTACTGGACACGTGAGATTAATACACAGTTTATTAAACTGATCAAATACTTGGTTATCTCTACAAGAAAGATCGATTGGTGGTTCTTGGCTAGAGAGCCCTTCAACAGATGAAAAATCGAAAAGGACAGAAATTGGATAAGTGGGGAAAGGAAGAATGGGTGGAATAATTCGTCCTCCAGTGGTACGAGGGGGACATTCCATGTAAATCAAATTCAAAAAGATAGTTTCCAGCGTTTGGTTGTAGACTAAAGCCTCGTTACACATGAAGCAGTGAGGGTTTTTGTAGTTGCTGATAACACCTTTGTACGACTCACAAGCCTGCGCCAAGAGAACCATCGTTTCATTCTTTGGATCGACGTCGCATGTTACGATTGCTGGATTTGTGCACTTCCTTGCAGCCGTTGATGAGAAGGGACTCTGGAAGTTCCAAACGAGGCAGTCCCTCATAATATCACCGATTTGTTGGGTAGAAAATTCACTTCGTGATAAGTTGGAGTATTCTTCAGAGAGACATGTAGCGTCAATTTCCCAGGGTGTGATGCCACTGATGTCCTTGTAGTTACAAACAACACAATACACATTCTTAAATGTGATACTCGTCAAGTACTCTACGGGCATTAATGTCAGTGGATCTTTATCCATTGTCCGACCTTCACACTTTGCTTTTATCTCTTCATTACTCCATCGCACATCACACTGGCTCACCATCATCCAATACTTGTCATTGTAACTGGGTTTTCGCGCGGGTTGCACGCAGGAGAACTGGCTTGGATCGATGCCTTCAGTCGCCTCATGAAAGGCATCATCAACAAGGTTCGTCTCACACTCATTAAGATAGTCGATACAACAGTCATTGAAATAAAAGCAGTAAGGATCACAATGACATCCTCCTCGCGAATTATAGCTGGTAGAACATGATTCGTCACTGTTGCATAATAGAGAAAGCGTGCATACGGGGACCGTCCAACCAAGTATTGTATAGTTATTGTATAATTCAGCACCTTCAAAGGGGCTGCCTGTAATAGAAAAGAAACAATACAATATTGACGGAAGATGAAATTAACGTAACTTTTGTGTTGCAGTATAGAACAAGAAGGGGCCGACACCCCCCCCCCCCCCCGCCATACTCACGCACACATACTGAAATTGCCATAGTTCTGGCACCCGAGGTTATTGCGTGTTAACTGATGTTTTGTGGTTGATCTGAACATAAATACAACATCGAATTTTTACTACTAATAATAATGATATTACTAATAATAATGTTAATATAGATACTCCCGTAGAGTATAAAACACGCTGGCTTACATTAGTTTTTATCACCTGACGAAGTGTTGCAGCAGCGCACGAAACGTCGTGATCTTTTAGATTCCTTATTGACCACATTGCGAGACAAACGAATATCACTAGCAATATTTTTTTCGATACTACATCCGCAATGAGTAATATATTTAGCATTAGATATTAATAATGATAATAATACTTTGTTTAGCTGTTTAAGGGGTAAGGCTCGACTAGCACATGTGTTATTATCTGGCCCCTTTTACCAACCAATAGATTCTCTTCTTGAATATGTAAATTATTGTATGAAATGTATTGCTGTTGGTAAATAAATCAAATCAAATCAATAATACTTGTTTTATTTACCTACAAAAAAAAACCCATCAGCACCAATGCTGCTCCTCCTGGGGGCACTGCAATTATTCTTACCCCAGTAATTGCCAAGAACCCATTTACACCTGGGTGGAGATTGGCAAATGTGGATTAATGTCTTGCCAAAATACGTTAGTGTCGGGCTGGGATTTGCAGTTCAATCAAAGTGAATGAACCACTTAACCACGACAACTCCAATCTTTACTAAGTATCAAATTATAAACTAATTTGACACTAAAAGTAGATTTTTGGGGCAACCATGACAAGAAATACGGTATACAGCGAAAAAATCAGGACAGGTATAGAAGTGTAATTGTCCGAGGTAACTGTCCGGGTTATGGTAATTTTCTTGGGAAGAGTCGTTCCGATAGGTTAAAAAAATACCTCATAAAATACTGATAGGGTGCAAGAGGTTCAATAATTCCGATAATTTATTTTAAAAAGTCGGGGAAAGGCCTGATCGCAAACAAGCTCCATATGTCAACAGGAAGTGCCCAGCTTAATACGTCGTGCTTTTAAAATACCTCAGTCATACCGATGGGACCGGCACCAGACCAAAACCAGCGTATCAGGACAAGTACCCCCTGTGCAATCACCCCCCGGGAAATCCACCCCCGGAAAACTACCCCATCCCCCAAGACAATTACCCCCGGAAGATTACCCCCCCCCCCATGGACAATAACCCCCCGGAAAACTACCCCCTGGATAATTACCCCCCGAGGACAATAAGCCCCGAGGACAATTACCCCCCGAGGACAACTACGCCCGACGATAATTAACCCAGAGGATAATTATCCCCCGAGGACAATACCCCCGAGGACAACAACCCCTCCGAGGACAATAACCCCCGAGGACAACTACCCCCATCGTCAATCACCCCGAGGACAAATACCCCCCGACAATTACCCCCGAGGACAGCAACCCCTCCGAGGACAATAAACTCCTGAGGACAACTACCCCCATCGTCAATCACCCCGAGGACAGATACCCCCCGAGGACAACCACCCCCGACAATTACCCCCGAGGACAACAACCCCTCCGAGGACAATAAACCCCGTTGAAAACTTCCCCCATCGTCAATCACCCCGAGGAATTTGGAACACTGTGTCGTATAATGCGAGATTCTTTCCGAATTGCTATTTACAGAAATTTCGTGAATTTTATTTTCTTAGTTATTTAAAATATCATTTCTTAGTAATTTAACAATATATTGTGCGCAGATGAGTAGGTAGTATTATGAAAACCGTTAGGAAACGCAAAATTTGATTTCGATTTCCAATCATAAATATCTAGATAATCAGACAGGCGACCGGCTAATAAAAGTCATGAGGTTCCTGACTGACATAAAGGTTTATAATTATCATTTCCGCATGAGCTAAATCCAGGATTTTGTTTTAGAATCTGAGACAAAGTTACTTCATCCCTTTAAACAAGAGGTTTGGAGTCGATGTGGAGTCACTGTGGCAGTGTGACTGAGGTATTCTAATGATTAGCGTTAACTTTTGTAGTCAAGCCCCCAAACCGATTCAAAACAGAAAGTAAACCAATAGATTTTTAGCCGTATTCTGTTGTTGGTCAGTCTACAGTCAGTCTGATGTTGGCCTCATTAGTGTGACATTGGATTAAACTGATGGAGTATAGAACATTTCTTGTTTGAGATTGTGAAGGGAGGCAATCAACCTGTTCATTACCAAAAAGCTTATAATGAATCGCCAGTCTTTTGGTAAATCATTTAGCGATAGATACTATAAAGGTTTACTCATGATAAGAAATCCCGATAAATGAAGATAATGATATAACTGATCACCTATCCCCAGCGAGGTAAAAAATATCATGATCTTCAAGACTGAAATAGGCCCTTCTGCAATCTGTTTTATAACCAGAAAAAAGAAGGTGCTAAAACTGATGTTAAACTTCTAATGGCAGAGTGATTGGAGTTGCAAGCTCATTTGATAAAACACCTTGCACCTCAGTTTTTAACACTAAATTGACCGTCATGGCGGGGAATGGTACATACAAAGTCAAAACCAATTATTAACTTACCACCTGGCAATATGAAACTGAAGAACAAACACAAATACACACTCTGAAACCATGGAACAAAATGATCCTTTTGATAAGCCATTCTGAGTTAGGAACTACAAAACGTTTAGAGGTAGACGTATTGGCTACATACCAAGTGCAGCTTGAACACAAACTTTACATTTGACCGAACAGACCCAGTGATGCTTCCTGTATGAGAAACCGAGCAAATAACAATTATGACAGTTTCCTCATACACTGTATTTTGTTAACAAAAGAGTTATAAAAGCATTCTATGGCCTCGCTTCGCCCCGATATTCAAGTTCAGTTGTGAAAAAGTCACACATGCAAACAATCGTGACGTCACTTCTTTTGTCACTTCAACAGAAGTCGTCGAACCCAAAGATAACAAATGATGGAGTAGTTTTAAGAGTCACTCGTGGTAGAAAAACAGTGGCGCACATTTGGACATAAGTACGGGGGCTGGGAGTTGCACAGCTTAGCATAGAGAGAGAGAGAGAGAGAGGGAGAGAGAGGAGAGGGAGAGAGAGAGAGAGAAGGGGAGGAAGGGATAGGAGAAAGAGATATGTGATATGAAAATGATACAGCCTCCCTAAACCGTTTTATGTTGCTCCTCTTTGTGTGAAGAGCCTCCCCCCCCCCACTCCACCTCCTATTGGATGCTTCACCAGTCCAATATAGGATATTTGATACGAGTGTCCTGGTATATCATGGTATACATATAATGGTACACGCTTACAGGATGTGCTGGACGGATATGATTGGACGCTGTATTATTAGTATAGGCTTATACCACAGCCACACCAACGAGTTCGACATCAGATCGACAATAGACCGAAATCAAATGATTCCATTACCCCGAATGGCCAAGAATCGGTCGGACTGGAGTCGATTTGGCTGCGTGGCTAGTACGTCTATTACGTTTATTCTTTTTATAGGTCCGTTCAAGGGTACAATCGCACCCACTCATGATCAAATCAGAAGGTGTGATTCAGGGTTTGGGGCTCCAGAGGGAGGACGGGGGTGGTCTGTACTCTAAAAGGAAGCCCCTGGATAAAAATATACCTCAAGAAGAGCTAATGTAGATAAAAAAAAATCTACAGACATTTGGAATATGATACCTGTTTTATTGTACCAAATGTTTGAAATAATTATTGTCCCATATGTTTCTCAGGTTGGATTTGAAAACAAAGAAAATAGCATAAACAATGTAGCACAAAAATCAACAAAAAAAAAAATCGTGATTTTTGCTAAGTTTCGACCTTTTCTCGGTTTAGTTGTTTCTCCGTTCACACATTTCCCAACAATGATACAATACAGTGTATCTAATGAATATCATATTTATAATGCACACAGAAATAAGGGAATAGTGGTTGCGTAGCTTAAATCAAAGTTTCCAATTGCTCTCCTACCTAGGAATTTTCGCAAAGGTTGAAAACATGTCTCCACCGGCTGAGAACGCCATTCCCTTAACCACTACAGCTGCAGATACATGTTTTTTCCGGAATGGGGGGGGGGGGGGACTGGTCGAAGCCATGATACTTCATACTGTTCTACTTCGTCTGAACTCTTCGTAGGCACATGTCGAGCCAACTCATGGGCAGTGCAATTGGATATAGGCCTATGTAAATGTAAGTTTAATGTTCTTTCTCTCTCTGTCCCTTTCTTCTCTCCCTCTATCTTCTTCCCTTTTACCTCCCTTTCTCTTCTTCTTCTTCTATTTTTTCTTCAGTCACTCTCTCTTTTTCCCTTTTCCTCCTTTTTAGGCCGCCAAAAAAAGGGAGAAGGCCGAAGACGATTCGACCCCCCCCCCCAATCCGCCACTGATTTATACACTATACACGCAAAGCTTGCGGTGTGGTGGGATTCCTTCCCATCCAATAAGCTGCCGACTCAGGGCAGCAATTTTTGTTTTATTTATTCTTATTTTTGTCTCTGTCCTTTTCCTCTCTTCTTCTCTTTTACCTTCCTTTTTCTTCTGTTTCTCCCTTTTTTGTCAGAATCCCCCTGAATTGACGCCCTTAAGTGTTGTCTTCCGTCAGAGGTGAAAGAGATATCATGATATAGCATTAACCTTATCATATTATTTGGTAAAGGAGGCTGGTAGGCATATTATGACAGAAAAGTGTACTGGAGTGGAAACTTCCGCCATTTAAATCTTTTAAAGACGTACATTTGTGTAATCATAAGAATACATTTTTGTTTCTAGGGTTGCATTATAGAGCACATGAACCTTGAGTTCTTTAAAGTTTCCTCCAAACAAGAAACAAGAGCCTTATACACGCGATTTAACAAGGCTACACAATAAAACAAAATATGGTTTGACGATTACACACTTGAGGGGAGCAAACTTAAAGATAAAGTTGAGTTCTGGCCATGCGATTGCATTGTGAAAAAGGGTGTGAAATCGATCAGAAAAAGTTGATCATGTAGCATGTAAGTATTGGTGTGTACTGCAAGGTTCTGGAGTCATCAAAATCATAATAAATTTGGCCCTTGGTAGAGTAACAAGCACTGTATACAGAAAATGTATATGGGACTACACACATGGTATCAGACCTACTTATCTTGATTTCCTTATCTTGTTATGCTCATTACTCAGCCGGTATACATTTTCTACCAAAATTGTTCGGCAAATTACATTTATTTGTTTAACATTCAGTGTAAGTTTCGTTTGATTCTGTGAGAATTCATTTTCTTTTTTTACCAGATCTCAAGTTTATCTTTAATGCATCACGTGAAAACTCTGCTGTCACTAGATGGCGCTGTGGATTGGGAATCAACCGTGTAGTATAGGTCCATTTTTAGTACCCAGTAAAATCCTTGTAATCATCAAGAAAGCACCGACTGATCTTCGCTGGACGTTAGGAAGGATAGTCTCGAAGGAATGACCATTAAAATAGCAAAAGGATGTAAAAAATTTCACAACTGTAAGACCGTCCCTAGCTCAAAATTAGTGGGCCTCCAGTCAACAAATATTGATACTGTCACGGAAAACAACTACCCCCTCTCGTGTTGTCAATATCACTATTAAAAGTGCTTTATGGAAATAATATTTCCCAAATTTGTTTATAATGGCTGTAAACTATCGAATATTGCTACTAATTCCAAAACAAGTACATCGAAAAATACTGTTGCTAATACTACTACTACTACTACTACAACTACTACTACTACTACTACTACTACTACTTCCACTACTACTACAACACCAACTACTACCATGACTACTAATACCATGAATACTACTACTACCACTACTATACTACAACTACTATTACTATTACTACTACTACTACTACTTCTACTACTACTACTACTACTACTACTACTACTACTACTACTACTACTACTACTAATGTCATAACTACTACTACCACCACTACTACTACTACTACTACTACTACTTCTACTACTACTACCATAACTACTAGTACTACTATCATAACTACTACTACCATGACTACTACTGCAATGACTACTCTACTACTACTACTACTACTGCTGCTGCTACTACTACTACTACTACTACTACTTATACTGCTACTACTCATCATGACTACTACTACTACTACTACTACTACTACTACTACTACAACTACTAATATCATAACTACTACTACTACTAATATCATAACTACTACTACCATGACTACTACTACTGCTAGTACTACTTCTACTACTCCTACTTCTAATACACCTTCATCGTCCTCATTATCCTACCATTATCTACTTATTCATTATTTTATTACCTCATCAACACATCTTTTAACATGAAAACATGAATAAGCGCGGAGACTGTTTAATATGAGAAAGAAAGAAAGAACCGACAGAAAATAATAGATGTCTAAATTTGCTGAATCCAGTTTTATAATATCAGAAGTGGTGAGCGAAGAATCTGTGACGAGCAAGAAAAATAGAAAAGGGGTTGTCAGTCTTCTGAGTACTTTTGACTAGGGTCATATGGCTGCCGATAAAATAAGGGGCACTGGGGGGGGGGGGGGTTATTTCAATTGTGTTTAGAGTATGCCGAATATCAATGAAATGGGCGTAGAGGTATTTAAAGAATATGTGAGAAAAAAATTCACTACTTAACTTAAATATTGTTTGCTGGCCTACATTCTTAAATTCAGATAAATACCACATAATATATCACTCATAAAACTAAATACATATACATAATATCACCCTTGCTTACATTTTAGTTCGCTAGTTCCTACTTGAACGTTCAACTCTGTTATGGCCTTCGTTTCGTTTTTCCAGCTGAACTCATTCGCCGAATAATGATTGATTCATGTGCTAACAATATACTTTAACGAGCAGTACAGTCGAGCGTGAAATAAGATTATGGATTGTGTTGTATTGTTATTTTTTCTTTCTGATTTTATACCAGATAATATATCATTCAAACTGAATAATCTAAACCTAAATAAGAGACGACGACTGGAGATTAAGCCCACACAGTATAATAATGTTATGTTAGATCGAAATCTTTTGGTCTACATTTGAATTCACATTATGCTGAATAAAAAATACATACAAAATAAATATGAATTGTATTATCCGGGTGTATTATGTCATCCTTGCCTACATTTTAGATCGCTAGTTCCTACTTTAATGTTCTTTATGTAATATATTAATCTAATTTTAGCGTTGTTTTCAGCTGAGCTCACACATTTAATCACCATCTTTACATAGAACAGAGTAGACAAACATGCAAGGTATTTGTGTTATGAATATATTTCGGCAAGTAAGTCCCATATTAAAGATAGCAAGATATGAAATTTGTTATCTAATCGAAAAGGTGAAAATGGTCAATAGATGCTGTTTCAGTAATGCTGAACATTAAAGTTTAACTACTATGGAGAAAGCAATACAGTTTTCAATACAAGTAAACTTAGTCAATGGATGATTGTTTGACATGATCACCAAAAATGACAAGAGTCTAAATCTGGATAAAACTGGAATTAACCACTTTTTAATTATCAATGTCGGAATGTACGACGCTTTTGTTACCTCTAATGTATTGTTTTCGTGACGCCAACGTTCTTATCTAAAAGTCATGATCAGGTCGAACATTTTTAATTCATCATTGATGGATCGAACTGAGGGTGTTTTCATTTTAAGGTTGAAAGAATTGCCATTGTTGTGTGAGAAAATAGATTTTATCTATTTTTTTCTGACACCGAGTGAATCTATTCAATTTCTTGATCAAGCGCTGCGTCGATGCGCCTGAATGCATTCATGACAATGCATAATATATTACATACAGATATTTATATTGGCGTCTCTTTTTTTTCTTCCTGGGAGACGTCTGGGGCAACGATTTTGTCACTACTTCCTCATTCAAATTGTAAGAGAACGTATCAAGTTTTGCAACAGAACAAGGCCCTAGTAGATCACATCAAACTACACCAGATTGCTTCATTCCTCGTTTCAAGATGGCGACTAAGGTTTGCCCGAAGTTTTTGTTCCTTCTGGTGTTTCTGACATTTTGCGGTGAGTTTCTCGTCGTCATTATCGATCAGTTCAAATTTTAATTCTATATCTACACGAGTATCTTAAACTTTAACTGCAAACAAAATGGATCTCGCATAATTTTTCAAAGCTGAATACGTTGACATTATGTTTGTTTTCAACACAGCCAACAAAGGCGAATCCAGACTTGGAGGGGGCAACTGACCCTCTTCAGTACCTCTTAATATAAGGATTGGAGGAGGAGGGGGTGGGGAAAATAGATACAAACAAATTTAGTTTCCCCGGGAATGGTTTTCACGGAAATCCCGCCAACCCTCCGGAGACTTGAAGATATTTTTAAATGATAAAACATGTACAATTTTGCATATGAAAAGGTTAGATATAGATACAGTGGACAGGAATCTCAAATTTGTGAATCCCCAGGGCAGAATCTTTCGCTATAGCTTCACATCTAAGGGCTTATATCTGTGATATTCCAGATCTGGATGGTAAAATGAGCCCAGGATACCATAGTAAACTCTCAGGGGACTACAGAAAACTTTTATTTGGTTTACATTTTGGGCTTCTACCAGTAGTTAAGCTTTCTGGGGACTACTGCTACCAAGTTTTTACTTTGAGTACAGACATGGCAGAGGGGCATATTCAATCAAGATTGCTTAGGACATCATCAGTTTCAAATCTGTTCAATGGTGAGAATATATGCACTTCTTCTTATTACTTGTACAAAATTTGTTATTTCGTTATGTCTACTTTAATATCCAGAAGGAGGAATGGTAAACATCACGATAGAAGGCTGGACTGTCCCTGTCTGTGAGTCTTCATCTCTATGCAACCCACAGAATGGATGCACTTCAGTAAACCCCGGCTCAGATGTGACATGCCGATGTGATCCGCTATGTCTCTTCTTCAAGGACTGTTGCCCCGATTACTTGACAAGTTGTGCCAATGCCACGCTTCCTATTCACTTTCTTGACGCAACCGAGAACATTGTGTCTGACCAGTTGTCTTGCCTGGTCCCTCCACATTCACATTCTTCTGGAAACAATACAGCCTTCTTAATGATTGATGAGTGTATGTCGGATTGGAGCAACGAGTTGACGAGGGAATATTGCGAAAGCTCGGCATATGAATCCGACTTTTTCACTCTGGCACCTGTTTCTTTAGGGTCATCCATCAGTTTTAAGAATGCGTACTGTGCCATTTGCAACAGGAAGAATATTCTTGATGTTATGCCTTGGTCCTTTCAATTCGAATGTGGGTCTCACATCCCGATCATATCCGCCAATGCGACCTTCCAAGAGCGTATTCAAATCTTGATGGAGAATTGTACTAACTGGTTCTTCATCCCTCCACCATCTGGTCTAACGGATGTGAGAATGTGTTCTAAGTTTGGAGGACTTGAGACTTGTCAGAATACACATGACGAAGAAGAGTCAGTGGCTATCCGACGTGCTTGCCATTCTTATCTAGCAAGTTTTGTGTCACTCCAAGATGGCCGTATGTACAGGAACCCACACTGTTTTGTATGTGTTCACGTGTCTGCTCAGTACAACATTTCCGTCTCGTCATTGAGTGATGTAATACCGTGTACAGGAAATTTACAGGTAATTTCGTCTATGATTAGGCCCGATACCTTAAATGTACATGAATCGGTGACAAACACAAATATATCACAGATCTCACTAGATCTCTCAATTGTTGATGTTTCACACGAATCGGTGACAAACAGAAATATATCACACTTCTCACCACATCTCTCAATTGTTGATGTTTTACACGGATCGGTGACAAACATAAACATATCACAGCCCTCACCACCTATACGACAGCCCTTACTACCTATATCACAGCCCTTACCACCTATATCAGTTTTGATTGACTTTACATCACTCGATGACGCGCCATTTCTTGAAGAAGTCGTCTCTGTCGTTTGCAATCACACACAAGTCTTTAATCCATCTGTTCAGAGGTGTATTGAACTTTCTTGCCCTGCTGGTTACAAGCTCTTGAACAGATCGTGCGTAGATTCGACCCAAGTGAGCATGCGATGTTCAAATAACAGTCAAATACCTTCAACAGCGAAGCTGAGTTGTGAATACGAGGCGGTAGGTGTGTCGTTCTGTGCCCCTTTATGGTCCATTGCAAATAAAACAGTTTCGTGGTTTACTGGCAATAATAACCATCTCCAGAATATCTATGTTCAAGAGATCGCCGCGGCATGGATGAATGTAAGCTCTGGTAATTCAGAAATTGGCACATGTTTACAAGTAGTCATCCTTTCATTTGATTTGTCCAGGAACTTTGTACCGTTTAGGCAACCATCTGAGAATGTCTTGTGGGCTGCGTCAGGGATTAAGAATTCTAAAAACCTGACTTGCCGGATATCAGAAGTCGATATATCTGTAGGATGTGTCAGAAGGGAAGACCGGTTATGTCTCAACAACTCTATCCGCTTTAATGAATTCAAAGTCAAGGGGGATTCTTCCAGAATGACGTTTTTTGTGAGCGAAACTAACAACTCTTATGCAATTGAAGATTCTCTCTACACTCAAAGGTTCCGATGGAACACTGATAATTCTAGCAACCTTGATGCAGATCTTCTGGTTTGTAGGAGAAGCGAGTATCCGTCACAATGTGCGTTGATAACGTTAGATATCTCTGACTTTGTCATATGGAGCAATGGATCGGTTCTGTATGAACCATATAATATGGTCTTTGATACAGATGACTATGCCTTGGTGAATAACGACTCCATTCAAGTGTGTTCCTTCCTAGACGGTAGTGGAACCCTCATCCGTGAATATTACTTCATCCAATTTTCAAAAGGACAGTCAATAACAAGTTTTGTTGGTTGTCTGCTATCAATTGCTGGGCTTGTGTTTACATTTGTCACCTATGCCAAGTTCGGAAGCCTTCGCAAATCCATTTGCAGTCAGGTGGTAATGAGCATCTGCGTGTCGTTAACACTGGCGCAATTGACGTTGCTCTTCAGTGGCATGGCAAAATCAAACTCCATCTCTTGCACATGCTTTGCCGTACTTGGGCACTACTTGTGGCTTGTTGTCTTTACACATTCGGTGGCTCTTGCGCTTGACCTCTATCGTAGGTTTGGAATAACCCAGAAAGTCAAGAAAACATCTGAAGGTCCGAAACTGCTGTCCATGTTTCTCATCTTTTCGTGGGGTTCACCCTTGCTTATTGTCATACCTTGCTTGGTTGTTCATCTCTGCAAACTGCCTCATGTTGCCCTGACTTATGGCACTGCCAAGTCCTGTTGGATTGGTAATGGTTTCATGAACCTGTACGCTTTTGGTGTACCTATAGCCCTTACTCTGGTCGTTAATGGAACTCTCTTCCTTCTCGTTGTTGCTGGTCTACGGAAGAGGACAAACCAAACCACGAAAAGGAAGACGTCGAAGATGGTGACTGAGGGTGTTGTCTATTTAAAGGTATGAACATGGAACTTGCTTTTACAATTAATTAATTGCTTCATAAGGTTTAATTCAATTCATGTAATCATATCAAAAATTGTTTTAAACAAAAGGGAAATACCGAATTGCTGCGGTTGGTTTGTAAAGGATTGAAACAATATAACTGATATTGGAAGGGGCTACTGATATATAACATCAGTGAACATAAGACTTTTTGAGACGTCACAATGTCCATTAAATAAAAAACACATGGCCAGTTGGTGCTCGTGTGGGCTACGTCTTAAAGATTACGTTATTGGAATGCAATTCACTTAAGGAGTTCTCGTGGAAAATATTAAAACGACCCAGCAACAAATAACAATTCAAAGACTTGTGGTCTCGAGAACGTAAGGTCATGGATGTGATCAATAAGTCAAACTTTCAATATTCTAACTTCAAATTTATTTTCCATTTCCTTGTATCAAATAGATGTCGACATTGCTTGGATTCACTTGGATCTTTGGTTTCATCGCTGCTTTTGTCGATGTCGAAGCTCTCTGGTATATCTTCATCATCCTCAACTCTCTCCAGGGAGTCTATATCTTCATTGCCTTCATCTGCAACAAGCGTGTCTTCAAGCTCTGGCGGGACTCGTGCTCGTGCAAGCCCTGTGTCTCGCTCACCGTTTCATGTCCTTGCTTGCGATCTTCGTCGGATGAATCGTCATCATCCATCAAGACCGCCTCATCAACATGGACTTCATCTTTCCTGTCGTCCACTAAGAAGGGAGCTTCAAGTACGTCCATCTCTATGACGGAGGCTTCGTCCAGTTATTCCGTGCCAGAGAAGAATCAGAACCAGATCGAGACGGATTCCTCGGCATTGAAAGGACCGATTCCTGTTTTACCTTCTTCTTCACCTTCGGAATGCACAGACAGACCGGTGAATGTTCAGGTGTCCAGTCAACTTATGTCGGAGCTGAAAATGAAGTTTGACCGAAAGGTTAATATCGAACTATTTGTTCATAAGGCGTAGCCGGACTTTGGGTGAGGGGGCATTTAATAAAGGTACTACAACCATTTTGGTTTGGGGTCATGAATTTGGTTCAAATGAACGTATTAGAAGCATATGCGATTTTACAATATTAAATGATCGTTGACGCGGTTGAGATCGAGTCTAAAGTGATGACGTTGTAAATAATAAATTCTTTATGTTGTATAGCGCCCTCTCAAGTCGGAAATTACTTCAGCTTCAAAACAATGTTTCTCGACTACAATCGACCGATTTGCTATTTACCGTTTGGAAATTATTTATCAGAGCTGCATATTTTGAGATTTTAATGGTCGCAGCTACCATGAAATGGCCTTAGGCGCTATTTGAAATATTTGAAATTTATCGGGAGCACCGGTAAATGTTTGATTATTAAATTTCTCGAAAGCAGAAGCTTTTTAGGGTGTAAATGTGTTAGTGCTTATAATACATCCACAGGGGCATCCAAATATATCAACATTTTAAAGAATTACTATCCATCCAATTTTCAAAATGTCCCCAAATTTTGCATTACCTTCAAGCCAAATGCCCAAGTCTACTCAATTTAATTTTTTTTTTTAATTTTGAGTACGTTAGATTTTGTCAGCTTTACTGACACGCGACTATTATTCGTGGATATATACATATATATATATATATATATATACACATAGGTTTGTGACATAATGTAACAGAAATGTAACAGCTTTTTTTGTTACGATATTGACGGAAATTATGTTCAATAGAAACAACATTGTGAATACATTGTGTTTTTAGAAAAAAAGAAGAGAGGAACAGGTAGTTGCAGGGGGTTCTTATTATTTCGTTATGAATAATTGTCTTTCGAAGTCGATTCCACATAAGCAAGTAATACCAAGAAAAAAAGAAGAAAAAAGCTTACCATAAAGATCAATGAAAGTTCTAATTTTCATGATATTCTATACAAGTAGTGCGTTGTAATTATTGTGCGGGTGATGGGTTTACCGTTGTTTTTCGTTTGATTGTTTTGGTGTTTGCTTTCTTTTAAATAGCACAAGTTAAACACTTTTATTACCAAAGCCGAATTGGTTAAAATTTGTAAAAATTACATGAATAATTTTATTTCTGTTTCTAGATTTTGAATGTATGTATATATATAACATCTTTGTAATTGTGCTTTTGTATATCGTGGATCTTGCTTTTTTATTATTTTTTTAAAACCTTCTCACTATTCAATCATCCGGCTGCGAAGATATGTTTTAATAAATCTTAATCTTGAATCTTGAATAATAATTTTGTCACTACACATACATATATGAAGTAGGCCTACGAATCGTTATTTTCAACATGTTCGGTATTATCATAACTTATATCATGTATATATTATATGATGAGTTTTTACTCAGTAACCATTGCAATAGCCAAGTGTACCGCCAGCTCAAATAAACACCTCAAGACCTTTGTCCCGAGAAAGAGTCATTGTAATAGAAGGAAATTCAGATGTTGGGTTGTTTAAACACGGGGCTGTCTATCAGGTGTGGATGGGAGCGTTGCTATAGAGGGGGTAGGCGGAGGATATCACAACCCAGTTCTATACTTAGTGTCGGAAAAGTTTGTATACAGCATTGTTTGTACATTTTAAATGGCAAATTGATAACCCTCTTCTTTTACTAAAATTTAGATTTTTACTTGTCGGAAAAAATTAGGAGCATCTGTTAGCAAATTTTAAAATGTGACCTAGTTTTATCACTTGTCGGTAATTTGGGGACTATATGTAATGTTTGTCTACCATTTCGAGCTAACTTTAATTTTGTCTAACGATACCCTCCCCCCCCCCCTCCATCAAAATTGTCTAGCGATGCCCATGCACATTGGGGCCGTTGGAATGTCAGGGCCCTGTCTTACAAAGAGTTACGATTGATCCAAATCAATCGCAAGTCCTCCAATCAATCGCAAGTCTGCAATCTCCTATATCTTATATATACACTTGCGATCGATATCAATCGCAAATAAGTTGCGATTGATATCAACTCTTTGTAATACGGGGCCCAGATCGTTTCAATTGTCAAACATTTGATCTCGTATTATCCAAGGCTGATGGGGAGGGTACGTAGGTACTCCCCTCAAACAGGGAGTTTTTATTTTGTTGATCGTTCAATTGTCAAACATTTGCTTTCGCATTATCCAAGGCTGATGGGGAGGGTACGTAGGTACACTCCCCTCAAACGGGGAGTTTTTATTTTGTTTATCATGTGTAAAAAAAATGAACAGTTTAGGTCTTATTCAACGCGTTTGTACATCACCGTCTTTCGCCTGTTGCACACGAGGCGTCAACCTTCTAATGTAGGACTGCGTCAGCGATTAGCGCATCATCTTAACGAGCCACGTATGGGTAATATCGTACTAAAAGTAAATGCAAATAAAAGGTGCAACCCTTGCCACAAGTTACTGGTATATGTGACCATTGCTTTTACATGATTGATTAGCGCAGGTAACAACGCAATCACGATAACCCCGTGTGCTACGGCTTAACTTTAGTGCAGGCATGACAGGAAAAGATGAACTTCTTCGATAAAGCTATTCAGACCATGTTAGTATCACTACAATGCACTGACAATGAAGTGTAGACTCTTGCCTCAGCTACGGTAATTATCCAGACTTATCTATAAAGGCATCAGGACGTTATGATCAGAAAGCTATATGCGATATGCTTTATTATCATCATTCTGTATTTATATATGTACATGTAGCATGCATTTAAGGTCAAAAGGCAAGTAAGATTGGTGGGATTTAAAAAAAAATATATATAATCGATATAACACATTACAGGAACGTGTTGCAGTGTTGTTTATTCTTCCTTTTGTTCAGATATATGTAAAAGAAAATGTCTAACAACTTTGATTGTTAAGAGAATAAATTAACACATTGTACATTTATTTTTAAAGGTGTAAGATGTAGTTAGAGTCTGTTTTCTTACGAACACTTTAGGTAATCTACGTGATGCAGATGATTCACTTTCTAAAATATCAAGTTAATAAACACCGTCCTGTGTGTATCAAAAATTATGAACACACCAATACCACCGTGGATCGCAGACGAGATTCCACAGCCCATCTGAATCCAGATTCATGAGCCATGTATTGCATCCCCCCCCCCGACCCCAACAGAAAAGACAGAGAGAAAGGGTGGAAATCAAATATTGTTTTTAAAAGATTGAATGGAAAAAAATCATTTGGCGTTACATATGTAATTTCTCACCATCAGTTCGACAAGCAAATAATTCCCCCCCCCCCCCCCCAAAAAAAAAAACATCCTCGGCTCTGGACAATAATTCCCCGCATTACAACGACACGCGGACAACTACCCCTGATAAAAACTCAAATTCACTAGGACAACACAGGACTACTGCCCTCCTACAACAATAACCCTAGACTTATATCATATCAGGCTGCTTTCCTCTTAGACGAATACCCCTTGAGATCGGCCCCTGAATAAATAAAATTGTCCTCGGTGATCATTTCAAGAGTAACAATATTATTTAATTGAAATTTCTGGTGGCGATAGCCCGGATGTAGTCGTAATTTAACAGTTCATTCAGTAGGCCATTGCTAACTATTTTGTTAAAGTTATCGTGCTAATCCAAATTATGCCCTATAAAATGTATAATGTCTTTTTTTCGAAGGGATGGAGTAAACCGTTAGGTTGCATGGTTACATCTAGTCCAGAATCTGGCCGGTTCTCTATATTCCATACACACTTGATTTAAGCCGCCGAAGACGGCGTTATCAACGAACTCATAATTACGCTCACCAGCCCAGCCTAAGAAAATATTTTTTCGCCGGGCGTCCTAATTCAATGATCACGCCATCTTCGGTTGGTACCAAGTAAGTAGGCGGAGGTAGCGTTGGTGTGGTGGTAATCAAAATTAAATAGATTCTGAACTAGATTACATTGGAAATTAGGAACTAGATCACCATCATGAACCCTCGAAACGGTCAACAGATCAAGGACATTCACATTAATCTTTTAATGCGATAAACCAATTGTTTTTTAAAACTATGTCTGACATTTTAAGGAGACGAGTTTATCGTTAAGATTGGCTATGGCATCACGTGAACACATTGCCATTACATCATGTACATCAGAGAAGGCGGCGGTCGATAACCAGAGGCATAGACTTTTCTGAAAGTCTGTCCGAAGATAAGGACAGCCATCCAGAGGCGTAGGTAGGGGGCATTGGGGCACATGGCCCAAATCGAATGGCAAACAAAGAGAGTCAAATTGCGCACTTTCCCTCTCATCTGTGGTCTTTTACCACGTAAGAAATATACCCCCTCCTCCAATAATGAAAGCAAATCTCGCTACCCCACTGGATATCATCTCATCTTTTCATTCTATGTAGTAAGACAATGTTTAATACTACAAATACGCTAATGGTGGTAATGAACTAAATTTTTCAAAGTGACCCCAGATTCTATCAAAATGTAATATAATTACCCCAATACACCCCCTTAGAATGCCCTTATTATTTCGAGTTTCTAATATAACATGATCCAATCTTCCGAAGGTTCTTGGGATTCACAAACTACTGAACTCAGCACAAATAAAGAAGACAAACAATCTTTGTTACTGTACCCTCTTGTGCCATTGAAGATGGGAGCTTAATCAACTTATACAACATTAATGTCCAAATTACCGACATAGGGTAAATATTTGTTATCGTCAGTCAAGAATGCTTGCATCAGCGATCTTCAATTCAACGATTTAAAGGACAACAGGTCTCTATAAAAGCACATTCGAAAGATTGGAAGTCATTCTCATCGAATCAGTCTTGACTTTCGGTTAGATCGGTAAGCTCCTCCTCCAAGATGAAGATGTTGATGTTGTTTGCCGCGCTTTGCGGAGTGGCCATGGCCGTGCCTTTCGACTCGGCAGCCTACATGGGAGAATCTGCGCCTATGGGACTGGTCGATGAGCTGACTACTCTGGGGTTCACCAAGCTGGTTGAATTTATTGAGATTGCTGGACTTAAGGAAACACTCAACACTGGAGGTATATTTTCTCCTTTTATTCATTAACTCAAAATGTGCTGACGCTGATCAAGAATGAGACTTGCGGGGGTGGGGCGGGGGAGGGGGCGGCATGGGGTACTTGCATGTAGAGGCACAGGTGTTGGAGTCTAGTGGATAAGTCTCCGGACTGGGATCCACAAGATCGGGGTTCGAATCCCTGTCTTGAGTACCTATCCCAGCCACCCAATGTACAACCGCTACTGAAAATGAGGGAATTCCATGCACCTATCCCAATACTAAGCACGTCGTCTGTTATAATCAGAGAAGATCTTAACCATGTCGTGACTTAGAACATGAATCCTACTAAAGAATAGTATATTTAAAATTAAGTTTAGTGTAGGTTTTGATAAAGTTGTTCATGATATAGGCATTGGTAACATCACTATTGAGATACTTTCAATAAGGAGTGCTGGGAAAGAATTACTTCGGTGATATTTCATAACATGTATTTGTGCGCTGCAAACGAAGCGCCACTTAGGATGCGTAAAGACTTACGCTTGTCTAACTTGTGAAGACAATACGTAAATGTGCCAATAATTCATCGCAATGTTTACACTCTTCATTTATCAGTGATCATTTATGACCTATTTTTGTGATTTTTCGTATGACGCGTCAAAGAATGATCGCGTCGTTGACGCAACCTTGCGTCAGAAAACTGACGCCTTGAGTGCAGCGGGCAATAATGATGAATTAAACTCACTCGTACAGGTCCTTTCACCGTCTTCGCACCGACCAACGAGGCCTTCGCTATGCTAGGAACCCACTATCCGAAGAACATGACTCTGCTCGTCAACGTCCTCAAGTCTCACGTCATTGCAGGCAAAGTGATGTCGACTATGATCAAAGATAACATGATGTCTCCAACCCTCATGGAGGGCGTCCCTATGCGTATCAACGTGGTCACTTGGTGGCAGGTACAAACTATTCATATCAAATTAAATCAATCATGACGTAATATGATAATTATCAAAAGCGAAACACGGGTAGTGCCCTCGCTATAGGGGGTACAGGGGCATCCCCCATTCGAAAAGGAGAGTTATTAAAAGAAAAGGGAGAGGGGTTAGGAGATGCTAAGACCCTTTCCCGTAACCTCCTATTATTCGGTGGTATTGTTCATTTGTATTTCAAGTAAACGCTACGCCTCTGGTTAAACTCCGCATATATATGTTTGAAAATGGTCATACGTTTTTTTTTTTTAAACAGTATAATGATATTGAATACCTTCGTGGACAAGAGCTTTCAGGGTTCTCACATTTCACATATAACATAACGTCTGATCGAAAGCAATCTCAATCTGGATTTGATCAATTAGATGAAGGATGCCCACCTCTTCACTTCACGATGCTCATATTCTCCATCATGTCTATAGTTTGAATCCCACTTTCTCTTTGACTATTACCATCAATAATGCTTGAAAACTCTTCTTTCCCTGACAGACCACCACTATCGGTGCTAATGGAGCCGAGATAACCTTATTCGACAAGATGGCCAAGAATGGCGTCATCCATGGAATTGAAAAGGTCATCCGCCCAATCCCTCTTGGGAACATGATGGAGGCTATGGAGATGATTCCTGGTTTGAGTTTCACGCTCGAATTAATCAAGATGGCTGGGTTGGATTCAACGCTCGCAGGTGCGTGCTAAAATTCAAACACTTTTTAATAACCTTTTTTTTTTTCTTTCTTTCTTTTTTAAAAAAAACAGGACCTTTCATGTACATAAACTGCATTTTGTCTTTATGTGAAAAATGTATTTATTTAAAATTTCGACCCCCCCCCCCCCCCAGAAAAAAAAGAAAAGAAATTCGACGCAATATATAGCAGCATTGATGTGCCCACTATGAGCAAACAAAAGCGCAAGGTATACTCTCGAGTAAGAGTAGCCTATCCGATATGCGTCGGGCTTTACAGGTATTCTAATCGCGTTTATATGGAGAGTGACATCGGCCTGTGCCGATGTCAGTCTCCCAAACGCGATTAGTACACTTTCCATTTAGCCCGACGTCTATCGGATAGGCTAGAGAAAGAGTTGTACGAACCTTTACCCCAGTTTAACCAAGTTACCCACGGAAGGGGGGGGCTCTATCTTTCAAGCAGTTACCCCCTAACGGATATCAATTTACATCACCTGGGTCAAAAGTGGCAAGTATATATTCTGTCTATTGTTATCTGTACGTTTTTCCAGGTGAGGGCCCTTTCACCATCTTCGCTCCTCAAAACATTGCTTGGATGAAGGTGCCAGAGAAGAACATCACAGCTTTGAAAGCAAATAAGACCTTGCTTGCGGAGATCCTGTCATATCACGTCGCTCCTGGTGCTTTCTACTCCACCGTCATCAGACCTGGTACTCTCATTACCACTGTCCAAGGCCAGAAAGTCCTCTTTAATCCTAAGATGTGCAAGAAAGAAGGTAAGCTCCGAAAGCCTATTTCATCATGTTTTATAAGTATTAAATTTGTGAATAAGAAAAAATATTACATTTTCTACAAAGTTAATGCTAACACATTGGTCATTATATTCAAATGGAATATCTGAGCACAAAGATGACGTTTTAGCGTCTAGGTTGGATTATATATTATGTCATACGTGAATAGGCCTATCCTTGTCAGAGGATTGATCCAACTCTACAACTAACGTGATCCTACATGGGGATCGTCAATTTGTAACAGACACACACACACGCACACACGCACACACACATTCGCTCCCTGTGCCTGCGGTGCGCAGACTTTATTCTGAGTGTATCAATTTTGTACAGCGCATAATAATTACAGTATAATTCTCTGTGCGCTTTACATGATCAAATTGGATAACATAAGTATATTAATACACTACTGCAAGAAACATAGGTCTTTATGGCAATTTTAAAGTATCGAGAGCAGTTATATTCCTAATTGCTATGGGTATTAATAATTCCACAATGCATGAGCTGATACCATGACGGCTGGGTTTCCATATGTATTCATGCATGTTTTACAGGATTAACAGCCATTATGATCATGAAGTTGTGGTGATAATCGAAGTGTACATACTTGAATATCTGGTATATAGGATGGAGTGAGATTGTTCTCTTGAATACCACCCGTTTCTCTACTATCATGGTTTAACGAGGCTCTGTACTGGATCTTTATGTCTTAATTGTTCCTCAAATTATTATTTTCTTGGTACGACAGGCATACTCTACAAGTTCATGAACGAGGCTGAAGTGACCCTTGCCGACCAGTCTGTGAACAATGGCGTTATGTGGTTGATGGATGATGTCTTCGCAAAGCCGATGGTATTCTAACTGGACTGTCTTCACTAAATCCAAACTCTCTTGAAGATAACTAGTTTTTTCGAGCCCATAAAAGAAGCTAAAATTCTAAGAAATGTGATAATTAGAAACAAACTCATGAAAAAATGCGAGAAAATGAACTGTTGAAACTTAAAATATCTTTGTTTTTTTCTTGAAATATAAACTTAATTACAAATAACAACACGTTTGTGGCGGCAAAGCAGAGTTTGCTCTTGACACCCTCCTTTCATAACTTTCGGATTTTGATATTTGAGCATTTCATGTTCAATTATTGGAAAAGGTTGAATTGCTCTAAATGCTATAGCTGGCATTCAGAAACATGTACATAATAATAATAATGGTGGCTTCTTATATAGCGCACATGTCCGTCACGTTGTGACGCTCCTGGCGCTGCCCCGATTATTACCCTGGCTTTAGCAAGGCAGCCACTGCGGCGCACTAGCATTTCAAGGAATTAATTCCTGCCAGGTACCCATTTACATGTATGTGTGTAATAATAAAGACTGAAACTGGAGTGAAATTTTTAGATTTGTTCCTTTCTTTTATTATAATTCTGGGCATATCATACGGGGTGGAAAACTGGTACAGTATATTAGATAAATATTAAACTATTCTAAATTCGATAATGTTGACAAGGTAAACAAAAACGTGATACTGAAGTGAACTTTTTTAGATTTGTGTGTTTGTGTGTGTGTGTGAATTTTTGTTCTCAATCACGAATTTAATGATATTTTTCCTTCACCTTCAAAAAAACACACCTATGTCTGAATTTGGTCATTTCATAGGCCTACATAATTATAGTTCCAATGAAACTAGGTGGATAGGTAGGTGTGACTGGATTTACAGTGAAGGAGAATGAATGATATAGGAAAATAGAGTAAAGAGAGAGAGAGAGGGGGGTAGGGAGAGAGGGAGAGGAGAGAGAGAGGGAGGGGGAGAGGGGAAGATAGAGAGGGGGAAAAGAAAGAGAGAGAGAGCAAGAAAGAAAGAAAGAGAGGGAGATAGAGAGAGAGAGAGAGAGAGAGAGAGAGAGAGAGAGAGAGAGGGGGGAGAGAGAGAGAGGGAGAGAGGGGCAAACTTTTAGAATTAACAGCAACCCTCCTCTGCCATATAAAACCAGGTTATACCTAAAACTGATTAATACAAAAGTCGATACATGCTGCACTAATCGAGCCTCTTTATCCCCATCTCTATTTGCTCCCTCTTTCTTTCTTTCTTCCAATGGGGTATTACGTGAAGTGGTTAACAAAAAGTCCGATGAGATACACAGCTCACCTCCGGTGGGACTCGAACCCACAATCCCCGGTTTAGGAAACCGATGCCTTATCCATTTGGCCACGGAGGCACACGTCGTATAAAGGGGGTTAGAATGAGAGATCCCAATCCCAAATGCTGAGAGGAGAATGACTGAATAAATCTCATAATTATGGATGTGAGAACGCTGAAGCTGCCCCAATAAATGAATAGTAAAAAGTTTGACAAAAGATTCGGCTGCTATCGACTAAAGTATCAATAATATCCATGTATTTGTTTTGGAATGTCAGATCGTACAAACGTTTGTTTTCGTATTATCCAAGGTTGATGGGGAGGGGGTGACCAAAAAGAATCCAAAAATCGCACCGTTTTACTGTTTTACTTTTTTTTCCTCACTTGGCCGCCCAGGGGGGGGGGGTTAAACCGCCGAAACAGCCCCCCCCCCCTAGATCCGCCCCTGATAGGGCCTACACCCTGGGTCCGTGGGCGATGTATAACTTTTTTGCAGAGTAAAGCTCGCATAAACAGTTGTCTCATATTCATGTCATCCCTCCTCGGCCTTGGTGTTTGCTCAACTGTACCCCATTATTAACGCAGGACTAAAATAAAGGACACCTTACTAACATGAAAGGGGCGTATAGCTTAATTACCCTCATTTCAGGATGGTGTGCAGATCGAGAGAGAACTATTAACTTGTTTGCAAAGTAGAGCTCGCAATACCAGTTCCTCTTCTGTCTCCCCTGCTATAGTTTTTGTTTGCCGAACCGCCCTAGCCAATAAAGATAAATTAGGTACAATAAGGGATCTTATCTAAAATATACACGGGTTAAGCTCTCATCCAGGGTTGGGATAGAGTGGACTAATTAATGCAGGATATAACTTGTATATGACGGCCCCTATAGCTTCTTGTTCGTCCTCATCCATAAAGCTCCCTTCAATGTTTGCTATTCAGCCCCAATCAAAGGGGATTATTTGGTTTAGATTAACATAGTATTGTAAACAAGTTAACATACAATTGTATATGATTTTTTTTATGAAGAATGAAATAAATACCATACCATACTAAACTATACCATAGGCAAAGATAGTTTACAGTTATACACAGTTTTGGGCCACATGTATAGTCCAAAACATTGGATGTCTGTGCTCACTCCTGTTCTCCTAGCATGTATCTAGCACTTTTCTGACTAATTGGGATTCTAACGTACCCGACACTACGATGCACATGATCAAATAATTCAATTCAAGAGTTCTTTATTCGCTTTAAAAAGCACATATAAAAAATAACAAAAAATATACAATATATTCTACAAATAGGCACATTCACAATATATGTAAAGACAAAAAAACAACATCAACAACAGAATACATGTATAACAGGGTAAGATCAGAGTGTGCATAAATACAAGATAATTTCCTCGCACTCCTCTCGGTTAAGGAAACCCTTACATAAATAATCATCCCTCGAGTTGATCAATTCCTTTACTTGTTCAACTATTCGTATTGTCTCATCATTCACTTGGCATTGCACAGCCCACTGCTTTTGAATTTCATTGTTATCCATGAAGTACTTATCATTCAAGAATCTTATGTTACCTCCCAACACAGAATGAGCTCCATACCTGGCCATTCCAGCTATATGTGCCACTGTATAATTTTTGGAATTCATAGCTTTCAAAACAAAAGATAAACATCTTTTTGCAAACCATAACTCTGGATCCATAACACCTGCTAAATAAGGCAAAAGATGACAGTGTGTCTGCCATGGAATTTTCCAAACCCTTCTTATTGCAACCCGCCATTGTCTACAAATATTATCAAAACATTTATCAAACAGAGGATATAACTGTGAGCCATAGAAACTCGAACAATATTTATGAAACAATATATTTCTTATGTGAGAGTTAGCATATTTGAAATTAAACAAAAACATATTACATTGTCGATTGAAATCTCCAACACACTTTGAGATATCAAAATCATTTATATTCTTAGAAATATCATTCCCTAGATGAGTTACTTTTGATGCAATATCAATATGTCTTCCATTTATCGTGATTCCTGGATCCATAACTGGTTTACCATTACAGCTGAAAACTATTAACTGACTCTTTTCAGGGTTAAACAAAATATCAAATTTAATGGCATAATCTAAACAAGTTTTAATCATTTCTTGAAGAGCAGTCACGCTAGGTGACAGCAGTGTCAAGTCATCTGCATAACCAAATGCTCCTGCAAAAACATTGCCCATAAAGCACCCTATCCCATTGTCACATAACTCTTCTATCAGCCCATCTAGATACAAACAGAACATGCAAGGAGAGATAACTCCACCCTGTTTAACACCATTTTTAACTGTAAAATAATCAGAATATGCATTGTTCCATTTCAACCTTAGCCTTTGATTCTTATACATATTAAGCAATAGCCTGCATATCATTGGGCAGACCCCTTTGCTCAGCATAATGTCAAACAATTTCACATAATTAACTCTATCAAATGCTTTACTAGCATCTAGCAATAATCCATACACATTACTCCCTTCATGATTAAAGTACGATACAGTTTCTTTAACCATAGCAGTACATAGTGTAGTTGATAACCCTGCTTTGAAACCAAACTGTAGGTCATTAGTCTGCAAGTTCCCTTCTTCCCTTTTCATAAATACATAATCTAAAACTTTACCAATGATACTACCAAGTGTTATTGCACGAAAGTTTCCTGAATCGCCCAAATTTTTCCAACGACCTTTAGGTATTGGTACCATTGTACTTTTGAGCATACCATCTGGCGACACTCGATGCCATAACATGGCAGTAAAAAGCATTGCTAAATATCCACTGATTATTTTCTTTCCATGTATAATATGATCAGACATCACACCTGTTACACCATCACTTTTGGAATGATTTAACCTAAGTATTGCTCTAGATACTTCATCTCCTCCTATAACATGGTCATTCTGTAAACACTCATTACATTCACATTTCTCCTGTGTAGTGGAGTTTATGTGATTCAATAACGTTTCCATATTTCCTTCATCATATCCAATACTTTGATATATCCTTCCAAATTTCAATGCAAACAACTCTGCTATATTTTCTTCCCCCTGAACACCATCCACTCTGTTTGGGTAACCCTTAGGCTTTTTTGAATGTTTCTTCACCTCTTTCCAAAAATTTCTGCTATTCTTCTCTTTTAATGCATTTGCCATTTTATCACATCTAACTGACATAGATTTGTTCAGCATCAATTTCAAAGCTTTATGATACTCAGACCTAGTTTTCTTTCTTAATCCATACAGTAATCCCTGAGATGGACGATCATTTTCAACCCATATCTTATGCCAAAATAATGCACTCCTAAAATAGGCCTCAACATGATCATTCCACCCAGGCACCACTTTACACTGTTGAGAACTAATGTTTATTAGAGTTGTCATTATATTTATTAGTACAAAGATGGCCACCGGTATTTAAAAAAAAATGGACGTATCAGTCAATGCACAATAAAAAGGAAGCTCAAAGGCTCCAATATAATTCCACTGTTAATCAGGCTCTCAGTAACCTCATCGTGGTGTACGATTCACTAATCTCCGGCCCACTGTTGCTAAAAGGACCGCTCGCTACTATGTAGAGAGAGAGAGAGAGAGAGAGAGAGAGAGAGGAGGAGGAGGGGTGTTCGAAAATAGAGAGGGAATGAGATGCGGTAGTTTCATCCCCAATGATTCTACCACAAGATAACTCCGCCCTCTCATGTCACGAATCAACACTAACACTTCATCATCTCACACACAAAGACCAAAACTCCGTTTCCCGCCACAATACTTAGTCGATGGCAGCCGAATCTTTTGTTGAACTTTTTAAAAACATTCACTGTAAAGTTTAAGCGTCCTCACATCCACAATTATGAGATTTATTCAACCACTTTTCTCTCAGAATTTGGGATTGGATAAAACATTCAATACTTCTGTATTTTGAAATCTCTAGTTCTAAGCTCCATACTTTTACATGTGCCTCCGTGGCCTAATGGATAAGGCATCGGTTTCCTAAACCGGGGATTGTGGGTTCGAGTCCCACCGGAGGTGAGCATTTTGCTTTAATGTTTAACCACCACACGCAATACCCCGTTCGAAGAAAGATAAACCAAGGAGGAGAAAAGAAAGAAAGAAAGAGGGTGCAAATGGGGATACATTTATCGATTATTTTATCAATCGATTTTACGTACAAAATGGTTTTATATGGCAGTGGAAAGTTGCTGTTATTCCTAAAAGTGTGCCCCTCTTTCTCTCTCTCTCTCTCTCTTTCTTTTTTTCTCTCTCCTCGCGCTCTTTCTCTCTTTCTCTCTATCTCCCCTCCCTCGCTTCCCTCCCTCTACTCTCCTATATCATTAATTCTCGTTCATAACTATCCAGTTACACCTATTTCTATTTCTGGTTTTTATCATCCATCCTTTCTTGCAGGCCTGTATGAGTTAACCATCTAGTCTCATTGGAATTATAATTTATGTAGGCCTATATACCAAATGACCAAATTCAGACCTAGGGATTCATTTTTTTTTTAGTTGAAGGAAAACTATTATTAGTTTCATAACACATACACGCGCACACGCACACACGCACATATAAACACACACACACGCGCGCGCGCGCACCCTCACACATACACACACACGCACAAAAACATTCTGCTCCAATCAAAACAAATTTTTCATCCCTTGTAGTTATCTTAAAAGAATGAAGCAAAGCTTTTAAAAAAAGGTTCACTCCAGTATCAGTCTTTATTTCTACACACAAACGTACATGTTTTTGAATACCATGATTTAGGGCAGTTCAATATTTACCAATATAAAACATGTAAAGCTCAAATATAGAAATCAGAAGGCTACCAGTTTCAAAAGCAAATTCTGCTTTGCCGCCACAAACGTGTTGTTATTTGTTCACGTTTATATTTGAAGAAAAATACAAATAAACTTAAGTTTTAGCAGTTCATTTTTACATGATTTCCTTGTGAAAATGATTATATCACAAGTTTGTTTCTTATTATTACATTGAGTATTATTGTGATTAATTTCATGGATTCGAATTACTAGTTATATGCCATGAAAGATTGGATTTAGTGAAGACAGTCGCGTTAGAATACCGTCGGCTTTGCGAAGACATCATCCATCACCCAGATAACGCCATTGGTCACAGACTGATCGGCAAGGGTCACTTCAGCCTCGTTCATGAACAAGTAGAGTATGCCTGTCATACCAAGAAAATAATAATTTGAGGAACAATTAAGACATAAAGATCCAGTACAGATCCTTATTATACTATGACAGTAGAGGAACGGGTGGGATTCAAGAGAACAATCTTACTCCATTCTTTATATACCAGATATTCAAGTATTTACACTTCGATTACCATCATGATCATAATGGCTGCTAATCCTGTAAAACATGCATGAATACAAATGGAAACCCAGCCGTCATGGTATCAGCTCCTGCACTTAGGAATATATCTGCTCTCGATATTTAAAAAAAGCCACAAAGCCCTGTTTTTTTCTTGCAGTAATGTATTAATACAATGATGTTATCCAGTGTAAAGCGCACAGAGAATTACATTGTATTTATTATGCGCTGTACAAAATTAATACACTCAGAATAATATAGTCTGCGCACAGCAGGCGCAGTGAGCGAATGTGTGTGTGTGCGTGTGTGCGTGTATGTGTGTGTCTGTTACAAATTGATGATCCCTATATAGGATCACGTTAGTTGTAGCGTTAGATCAATCTACTTACAAGGATATAGTCCTATTCACGTATGACCTAATATATTATTCCACCTAGACGCTAAAACTTCATCTATTAGTGCTCAGCTATTCCATTTGAATATAATGACCAATGTGTTAGCCTTAATTTTGTGGAAAATGGTATATTTTTTCGTATTCCCAATTTCAAGACTTATTGAAACATGATGAAATATCCTTTCGGAGCTTACCTTCTTTCTTGCACATCTTAGGATTGAAGAGGACTTTCTGGCCCTGGACAGTGGTAATGAGAGTACCAGGTCTGATGACGGTGGAGTAGAAAGCACCAGGAGCGACGTGATATGTCAGGATCTCCGCAAGCAAGGTCTTATTTGCTTTCAAAGCTGTGATGTTCTTCTCTGGCACCTTCAACCAAGCAGTGTTATCAGGAGCGAAGATGGTGAAAGGGCCCTCTCCTGGAAAAAATTAAAATAACAAGAACACTCTACAAAGTTAAAAACATATAGAATCCTAAAAACAAAAAAACAAATTGGGAAACTTTTTATTAATCGATATTGACAAAACACATATAGCTATACACACGAAAATCAGAATAAGCAATAGTAACCTCAAGATTGACGAAGGTCAGTACAAGAAAATAACATTAATATATATATATATATATATATATATATAGGATATGCCCCTTTGTAGAACTGACATAGAGAATGAAATACACTTCCATACTTAATAGATCCCAGATTTAAAATGTACTCTAAACTTAATAGTGCAGTAGGCCTACCTAACTTTCAAACCCTAAATGACGATACAAACATTCAACTAATGATTTCCAATGACGAAACCGACATAAATGCAATAATAACATTTAGAAACGAATAGAACTACTTAAAAATAATAAATCAACATAAAAATACACATACCCCCCCCCCCTTCGTCCGCTTAAAAAATACATATGTGTGTATATATGTGTGTCTGTACCATAGAGATATATACTATATATCTCTATGGTCTGTACATGCTTGTGGGAGGGGTTAGTAATAATAAAACATATATATGTCTTATTATCATGTTGTCTTTTTACTTTTTTAAAGAAAAGGGTAAAAGAATTGTACGAGTAATATAATTTATTTTCATCCCTTTATTATATTTCAGAAGAGACATGTAGTAGTAGTAGTATGTCAACTTGTATCACTCCTGGTTATTGTTATCTTTACTCTTACACTCAAATTTTGAAATTTGTTATCCAATGTATACAACAACAACAACATTGAGAATAATCCTATTTGTTTGGATTGAAATCAATACAATTTGAATGGAACATGAATTTGTACACAACAGATACTGTTTTTAAAAAATGAATGAAAACAAATCATTAATAAGTGTTTTTAGCACGCACCTGCGAGCGTTGATTCCAACCCAGCCATCTTGATTAATTCAAGCGTGAAACTCAGACCAGGAATCATCTCCATAGCCTCAATCATGTTCCCATAAGGGATTGGGTAGATGACCTTTTCAATTCCGTGGATGACGCCATTCTTGGCCATCTTGTCGAATAAGGTTATCTCGGCTCCATTAGCACCGATAGTGGTGGCCTGTCAGGGAAAGAAGAGTTTTCAACCATTATTGATGGTAGTTTAAGAGAAAATAAAAATGAGCTATGCTAAACTGTATTTAAATAAATAAACAAACAAACAAACTTTAGACATGGTGGAGAATATGAATATCGTATAAAATGTGAAAAGGTGGTTATCCAATCCTTTTAAAATTATCAATAATTTATCAACTCCAGATTGAGATCGCTCCCGATCAGACGTTATATATCTGAAATTATGAAAACCCTGAAGTAAAATTTACTCTTTAAAAGCTCATAAGTCCATATAGATATTCAATATCAGTACCATTGTTTGGCTTGAAACATTAACAACTTTATGGCCATTTTCAAACATATTTATGCGAAGTTCAACCAGAGGCGAAGACTGCGTCCAGCTCTTGGGGGCCGGGAGGGGGGGGGCGTCGTCATGGAGGGACATCAGTCTACTTAAAATGCAACGACTCAGCCAGCCGCTGATAAGCGTGGGGAGGGGGGGGGGGGGGTTAAGGCCGATCGATATTTCGTTCCGTTGGGGGTTGGTGAGGTCACCTTTTTTGGGTCACCCATTACCACAATTTTTTTTTTATTATTATTATTTTTTTTAATTGAGGGGGAGGGGGGTTCCTCCAAAACACACACACATAAATAAAATTTGAGGGGGGGGGGGGTCAACCCCCACAACCACCTCCCTACCTACGCGCCTGCTTACCCCTCTCTCTTTTCTTTAAAATCACTCTCATTTTAAAATGGGAGATTCCACTGTACCCCCTGTAGCTAGGGCACTTCCAGTGTTTTGTCTTTGATAATTATCATATCACGTCATGTTTTCATTTTAAAGAAAACCATTTGATTTGATTTGATAAGAATAATTTGTACCTGCCACCACGTGACCACGTTGATACGCATAGGGACGCCCTTCACGAGGGTTGGAGCCACCAAGTTATCTTTGATCATAGTCGACATCACTTTGCCTTCAATGACGTGAGCCTTGAGGAGGTTGACGAGCACAGTCATGTTCTTCAGATTGACGGGTCCTAGCATAGCGATGGCCTCGTTGCTCGGTGCGAAGATGGTGAAAGGACCTGTACAGGTGAGTTTAATTCATCATTATTTCCCGATGCACTCAAGGGGTCAGTTTTCTGACGCAATGTTGCGTCAACGACGTCTTCATTCTTTGACGCGTCATACGAGAAATCACAAAAATAAGTGAAAATGATCGCTGATAAATGAAGAGTTCAAACATTGCGATGAATTATTGGCACATTTGCTTATTGTCTTCATAGGTTAGATTTGCGTAAGTCTTAACACACTAAACGACACCGTGTTTACAACGGGCAAATACGTGTGATGTAATTATTCTTCCCAACATCAGCATTTCGTATTGGAAGTATCTCAATACAGATGTTACGAATGCCTTGTACAACGAACAGCTTTATCCGACCCTACGCTAAACTTAATTTTGAATATGATGTGCTTCAGCTGGGGTTTATGTTCCAAGACACGACATCTGTTAGACCTTCTCTGTTTATAACAGACGATGTGCACTTTATTAGCATCGGTGAAATTCAGTAGCGTTTAATTGTTGATGGGGCGGCAGTGATTGGTACTTAAGTCCCGCCTAAATCCCCCCCCCCTCCAAAATTTGATTATCATTCAATTTAGGAGAGTCACATGTAGAAAGTGAACGTTAATGTGCCGTTCTTGTATAGCATTCAAGGAATAATTCCTACCATGTGCTCACTTACGTACACCTCCCCACCCCTTCAAATATTATTCTAGATCCGCGCCAGTGCATTTTGATTTAATGAATAAAAGGAGAAAATTTACCTCCATTGTTGAGTGTTTCCTTAAGTCCAGCAATCTCAATTAATTCAACCAGCTTGGTGAACCCCAAAGTAGTCAGCTCATCGACCAGTCCCATAGGCGCAGATTCTCCCATGTAGGCTGCCGAGTCGAAAGGTACGGCCACGGCCACTCCGCAAAGTGCGGCGAAAAACATCAGCATCTTCATCTTCTTGGAGGAGCTTACCGATCCAACCGAAAGTCAAGACTGATTCGATGAGAATGACCTCCAATCTTTCAAATGCGCTTTTATAGAGACCCGCTGTCCGTTAGATTGACGGATGTTGATGCGAGCATTCTTGATTGACAATAACAAATATTTGTCCTCTGTCGATAATTTCAACAAACGTAGATTAAGCTTCCAACTGCAAAGACACAAGATTGTACAGAACAAAGATTGATTTGTCGTCTTTATTTTTGCTCAGTTACATAAGTTTGTGAATTTAAAGAAACTTCAGAAGTAATAAGAACATTCTAGGGGGAGGATGTACTGGGGAAACTATACTACTTGATAGAATCTGGGGTCATTTTGAAAACTTTGGTTCATCATCACCATTGGCGTATTCGCAGCATTCAACATTGTATGTATTGTAACTTCAGCTTTATAGAATGAAAAGATAAGATAAGAACCAGTGGCGAAGTCTGGGTTTATTGTCATCATTGGGGGGGGGGGGGGGAATTTATTTGTTTTTATTTATTTATTTCTGCATTTTTCATACAATAATAATCAGTAACAGCTTGAGATTTTGTACATGGTGGTAATACATTTTTAATCACAATGAATGACACAATTTATGAAAAAATATGTTGGAGACGACTAACATAGCAAATGCAGAAGAGCTGCAGCTCTTTAGCTTACTTGACAGCAAAATATGATAATACAAAAAGGCAAAAAACAATAGGAACTCAATGGCCAACAAAAATGTCCAAAAAAAATGATAAAAACTGACTTGATTCAGAAGACAGAGAGAGAGAGAGAGAGAGAGCCGAAGAGAGATAGAGAGGGATAGATAGAAGAACACTTGGTGTGCGGCTATACTGCTATTCCTATGCTGAGATATACAGAAAGCACATGCTATTTAAATACTGAGTAAATCAGTCTTATTTCATAAGAGGTTTCATAAGAAAATGATTACATGTCTTCCTTGGTAAAAGGCCGCTGATTAGAAGGAAAGTTCGGATTTTTTAAAAATACTTTTTTGCCATTCGATCTGGGGCACATGCCCCGATGTCCCCTACCTGCGCCCCTGGGAGGACTGTCTTTATTTTCGGGCAGATTTACAGCAAAGTCTAGTCCCGTGACTTCTCTGGCTATCAACCGGCTCTATCTCTGATGAGTGATGAACGTGATGAAACAGTAACGTGTTCACGTGATGCCATAATCAACCTCACGCAGCTTAACGATGATAAAATCGTTTCGTTAAAATGTAAGATATACATAGTTAGAAACAAATAGTTAAACACAATTAAAAGTCCCATGACTTCTCTGGTTATCAACCGGCTCTATCTCTGATGAACGTGATGAAACAGCAACGTCTTCACGTGATGCCATAATCAACCTCACGCATCTTAACGATGATAAAATCGTTTCGTTAAAATGTAAGATATATATATATATATATATATAGTTAGAAACAAATAGTTAAACACAATTAAAAGTCCCATGACTTCTCTGGTTATCAACCTGCTCTATCTCTGATGAACGTGATGAAACAGCAACGTCTTCACGTGATGCCATAATCAACCTCACGCAGCTTAACGATGATAAAATCGTTTCGTTAAAATGTAAGATATACATAGTTAGAAACAAATAGTTAAACACAATTAAAAGTCCCATGACTTCTCTGGTTATCAACCGGCTCTATCTCTGATGAACGTGATGAAACAGCAACGTCTTCACGTGATGCCATAATCAACCTCACACATCTTAACGATGATAAAATCGTCTCGTTAAAATGTAAGATATATATATAGTTAGAAACAAATAGTTAAACACAATTAAAAGATTAATGTGAGTGGCCTGGATCTGTTCATCTTTTCGAGGTTACATGATCGTTCCTAATTCCTGATATTACCATGAAAACTTATCGTTTACCCCATCCCTTTTTAAATAAGACTACACATTATACATTTTATAGGGCATAATTCGGATAAGCATGTTAAGTAAAAATAGAATATTTCCCAATTGTCTACTGAAGGATCTGTAACATTACGAATTTATCCGAGCTATCACCACCGGACACCGGACAACATTCCTCAGAAATTTCAATTGTTACTCTTTAAGAGATCACCTGGGATACTTTTATTTTATTCATTGGCTGATCCTAAGGAATAAACGTTTGAGGGGGAAGCTGTCAGATATGATATAGGTCTAGGGTAATTGTCCTAGTAGAGCAGTAGTCCGGAGATGTCGTCCTAGGGGTAGTTTGTCAGGGGTAGTTGTTTATTTTCCGGATCCGAAGATGTATTTTTGTAATTAGACATATTTACTTGTCGAACTGATGGTGACCAATTAAATATGTAAATTCAAAGGACTTCTTCGAATAATCTTTTAAAACTATAGTTGGCTCATGAATCTGGATTTACAGGAGCTGTGGAATGACGTCTGCGATCCACAGTGGTATGTCGGTGTGTTCAGGATACACACAGGACGGAATTTTTGAACTCGATATTTAAAAAAGCGAATCATCTGCATCGTATTACTTAAAGTGTTCATAAGAAAACAACATACTCTAACTGCATCTTACATCTTTTAAATTTACAATGTTAATTCAAGTATGCAATTTCACTTTCTTAACAATCAAAGGGGTCAAACATTTTCTTTCATAAATCTCTGTACTTAGTAGTAGCCGACTGTCGCAAAGCGACAATGACCGCCTTCACTTTCATGAAGGCTGCTTGCAAAGATGGGTAGGTACCAATAGCTCATGTAAGTTACTAACGGCACTCTCTCGGGGGAACTGGTGGCAGTATCACATCGGCGAGGACAAGCCAGGACGGGTGCGAACACCAGACCCTGAAGTGACTGGTCGAAGAATGTCGGGAGTTGAATGTCGTCAATCGCCCTCAATGATGTTACGGTGGCATGGTTTTCTGTTAGGATTTGCTCCCTTAGCCTTAGATTCTAAAAAGAACTTGAACCACAAGGCAGCGGTTACAACTATGTATGACAATAACAATAAACATTTTGTTTAAAAAAATGAGGTGATTGGAATTACTCTTATGTTGCGTTAAGTTAAGAGTACTAATTGAGCACAACCAAATACTATTTAAAGGTAATACAAAGTTTTTGGAAATTTCGAAAATTGGGTGGATAGTGATTCTTTACAATTTTGATTTCTTTACTTTACAATTTTGCCCCTGAAACACTTCTGCTTTCGAGAAAAATCGAATATAAAAATGTACCGGTGTTCCCGGTAAATTTCTATAAATTTCAAATAGCGCCTACAACCGTACAATGGTAGCTGCGATCATAAAAATCTCAGAATATGTAGATGTGATATATAATTTCCAAACGGGAATAACTAATTGATCGATTTTTTAGTCAAGATACATTGTTTTATAGCGTAATTAACATCTTGACCTGGAGAGGGAGCTATACAACATAAAGAGCTTATTATTTACAATTTCATAATTTTAGACTCGACAAGGATCACTGAATATTGTAGGATCGCATATGCTTCCAATATGTTCATTTGAACCAACTTCATGACCCCATACCAAAACTTTGTATTACCTTTAATCTCTGTAGGCCTACTTACGAAACTTAAAGAGGAAAAAAAACCACTGAAACACGTTCTTGTAATGTGTAATCTTTGTTTTTAATCCCACCAATCTTTACTTGCTTTTTATCGTTAAATGCAAGCTACATATGCAAATACAGAATAATGAGAATAAACCATTGTTTGTATATAGCGCATATCGCTTTACGTTAATAACGTCCTGGTGCGTTTCCAGATAATTGCCGTAGCTAAGGCCAAGGTCATCACTTGTTTATGAGTGTATTGTAATGATAAAACAACTAGACATAAATAATACAATACGATGACTAAAATACACTGTTCTAAGATGCGTACACCCATTTCATTTTGGTTGTGTGTTTATGTTTCATTATCATCCATTGAACACCGATGTCTTTTATGAATAACATTATCAAAGTAGTTATCGTTTTGATTGCGTTGTTATCTGCGCTAATTAATCATGTTAAGGAATTAGTCACATATGCCATTAACTTAAGGCAGTGGTTGCACCTGTTATTTTCATTTACTTTAAGTACGATATCACTCATACATGGCTCGTTAAGATGATACGCTAATCGCTGACGCAGTCCTACGTTAGAAAATAGACGCCTCGTGTGCAACAGGCGATGTACAAACGCGGTGAATAAGACTTAAACTGTGTATTTGTTTTCCGAATGATAAACAAAGTAAAATCTCTCCGTTAAAGGAGAGTGTACCTCCTCTCCCCATTAATCTTGGATAATACGAGAACAAATATTTGACAATTGGAACGATCTGACATTCCGACGGCCCCAATGTTAGACACAAATGGGCATCGCTAGACAATTTTAACGGAGGGGAGGGGGACATCGGTAGACAAAATTAAAGTTAGCTCGAAATTGTAGACAAACAAAACAAAAAGTCCCCAAACTACCGAAAAGTGATAAAACTAGGTCACATTTTAGAATTCGCTATAAACAGAAACTCCTTATTTTTTCGACAAGTAAAATTTTTAATTTTAATAAAAGAAGAGGGTTATCAATTTGCCATTTAAAATGTACAAAACAATGCTGTATACAAACTTTGCCGACACTAAGTATAGAACTAGGTTGTGATATCCTCCGCCTACCCCCTCTAGCAACGCTCCCATCCACACCTGATAGACAGCCCAACATCTGAATGTCCTTCTATTACAAAGACCCTTTCACGGGACAAAGGTCTTGAGGTGTTAGCTGGCGGTACACCTGGCCATTTCAATGGTTACTGACTAAATACTCGCTATATAATATCTACATGATATAAGTTATGATGAAATAGAACATGTCGATAATCACGAGTCGTACGCTTCCTTCATATTATATGTATGTGTAGTGACAAAATTATTATTCAAGATCCTAGATTTAAGATTTATCAAAACATATCTTCGCAGCCTGGTGGTTGAATTGTGAGAATGTTTTACAAATAATAAAAAAAGGAAGATCCATTATATACAAAATCATAATTTCAAAGATGTTTTATATATACATTCAAAATCTAGAAACAAAAATAAAATCATACATGTAATTTTAACAAATTTTAACCAATTATGGCTTTGCTAAAGAAAAAGTTTTAACTTGTGGTATTTAAAAGAAACCAAACAAACACAAATTCAAACAAAAAACACAGGCACTAAACCCACCACCCGCACCATAACGCACTATATGATATTTGTTAGAATAGTTCAAAAACATGACAATTTGAACTTTCGTTGATCTTTATTCTAACCTTGTTTTTTTTCTTTCTTTCTTTCCTTACTTACTTATAATAAATCGACTTCGAAAGACAATCATGAGTAATGAGAAGCTACCTGCAACTACCTATTCCTCTTCTTCTTTTTTCTTCTAAAAAAACAAGGAATTTACGATGTTTTTTGTATTTAACATAATTTCCCGTCATTATTGTAGCAAAAACTTTGTTACGTTATGTTAAACACATGTGTGTATATATATATATATATATATATATATATATATATGATATGTATATACGGTACGCGCGTCGATAAAACTGTCAAAATTGATGTATTGTATAATGTACTAAAAAAGAATCTGTGTAGACTTGGGCATTCGGCTTGAATGCCCCCTCACTCTAAGTTCGGCTACGCCCTGTGAACGAACAGTTCGATTTAAACCTTTGGGTCAAACTTCGTTTTTAGCTCCGACATGAGTTGACTGGACACTGGAACATTCACTGGTCCGTCTGTACGTGCCATAGGTGAAGGAGAAGGGAAAACAGGGATCCGTCCTTTCAATGCCGAGGAATCCGTCTCGATCTGGTTCTGATTCTTCTCGGGCACGGAATAACTGGACGAAGCCTCCGTCATCGAGATGGATGTACTTGAAGCTACCTTCTTAGTGGACGACACGGAAGATGAAGTACATGTTGATGAGGCGGTCTTGATTGATGATGCCGGCTCATCCGACGAAGATCGCAAGCAAGGACATGAAACAGTGAGCGAGACACAGGGCTTGCACGAGCACGAGTCCCGCCAGAGCTTGAAGACACGCTTGTTGCAGATGAAGGCAATGAAGATATAGACTCCCTGGAGAGAGTTGAGGATGATGAAGATATACAAGAGAGCTGTGACATCAACAAAAGCAGCGATGAAACCAAAGATCCAGGTAAATCCAAGCAATGTCGACATCTATGATACAAAGAAATGAAAAATAAATTTGAGGTTAGAATAATGAAAGTTTGACCTATTGCTCACATTCATGACCTTAAGTTCTCGAGACTACAAGCCTTTTTAATTGTTATTTGTTGCTGGATCGTTTTAATAATATTTTCCACAAGAACTCCTTAAGTGAATTGCATTCCCATAACGTAAGCTATAAGACATAGCCCACACGAGCACTAATTGGCTATGTTTTGTTAGAATGGACAATGTGACGTCTCAAAAAGAATTATGTTCACTGATGTTATATATATTATATATCAGCTAACATCGCAGCCCTTCCAATATCGGTTATCTTATTTCAATCCTTTACATACAAACCGCAGCAATTTGGTATTTTCCTTATGTTTACAACTATTTTTGATATGGTTACCTAAAATTGAAATAACCTTATGGAAGTAATTAAACGATTGTAAAAGCAAGTTCTATGTTCATACCTTTAAATAGACAACACCCTCAGTCGCCATCTTCGACGTCTTTCTTTTCGTGGTTTGGTTTGTCCTCTTCCGTAGACCAGCAACAACGAGAAGAAAGAGGGTTCCATTAACGACCAGAGTAAGGGCTATAGGAACACCAAAGGCGTAAAGGTTCATGAAACCATTACCAATCCAGCAGGACTTGACAGTGCCATAAGTCAGGGCAACATGAGGCAATTTGCAGAGATGGACAACCAGGCAGGGTATAACAATAAGCAAGGGGGATCCCCAAGCAAAGACGAGGAACATGGACAGCAGTTTCGGACCTTCAGATGTTTTCTTGACTTTCTGGGTTAGTCCAAACCTACGATAGAGGTCAAGCGCAAGAGCCACCGAATGCGTAAAGACAACAAGCCACAAGTAGTGCCCAAGTACGGCAAAGCATGTGCAAGAGATGGAGTTTGATTTTGCCATGCCACTGAAGAGCAACGTAAATTGTGCCAGTATCAACGACGCGCAGATGCTCATAACCAGCTGACTGCAAATGGATTTGCGAAGGCTTCCGAACTTGGCATAGGTGACAAATGTAAACACAAGCCCAGCAATTGATAGCAGGCAACCAACAAAACTTGTTATCGACTGTCCTTTTGAAAATTGGATGAAGTAATATTCACGGGTACGGTTTCCATTACCGTCTAGGAAGGAACACACTTGAATGGAGTCGTTATTCACCAAGACATAGTCATCTGTATCAAAGACTATATTATATGGTTCATACAGAACCGATCCATTGCTCCATATGACAAAGTCAGAGATATCTAACGTTATCAACGCACATTGTGACGGATACTCGCTTCTCCTACAAACCAGAAGATCTGCATCAAGGTTGCTAGAATTATCAGTGTTCCATCGGAATCTCTGGGTATAGAGAGAATCTTCAATCGCATAAGAGGTGTTAGTTTCGCTAACAAAAAACGTCATTCTGGAAGAATCCCCCGTGACTTTGAATTTATTAAAACGGATAGAGTTGTTGAGACATAACCGGTCTTCCCTTCTGACACATCCTACGGATATATCGACTTCTGATATCCGGCAAGTCAGGTTATTAGCATTCTTAATCCCTGACGAAGCCCACAAGACATTCTCAGATGGTTGCGTAAACGGTACAAAGTCCCTGGACAAATCAAATGATAGGATGACTACTTGTAAACAGGTGCCAATTTCCGAATTACCAGAGCTTACATTCATCCAAGCGGCGGCGATCTCTTGAACATAGATATTCTGGAGATGATTACTATTGCTGGTGAACCACAAAACCGTTTCATTCGCAATGGACCATAGAGGGGCACAGAATGACATACCTACCGCCTCATGTTCACAACTCAGTTTCGCAGTTGAAGGTATTTGACTGTTATTTGAACATCTCATACTGGTTTGGGTCGAATCAACGCACGACCTGTTCAAGAGCTTGTAACCAGCAGGGCAAGAAAGTTCAATACACATTTGAACAGATGGATTAAAGACTTGTGTTTGATTGCAAACGACAGAGACGACTTCTTCGAGAAATGGCGCGTCATCGAGTGATGTAAAGTCAATCAAAACTGATATAGGTGGTAAGGGCTGTGGCATAGGTTGTACGGGATGTGTAGTCGCTTGTGTAGTCGCTTGTAAGGGATGTGTAGTCGCTTGTATAGTCGCTTGTAAAGTCGCCGCTTGAAAGGGATGTGTAGTCGCTTGTATAGTCGCTTGTATAGTCGCCGCTTGAAAGGGATGTGTAGTCGCTTGTATAGTCGCTTGTAAGAGATGTGTAGCCGCAAAAAGTATCTGTGTGGTACCGAATGTCCACGCTCGGCTTGTCGCCGGTACATGTGTATCGTAGGGCTGACTGGTAGTGGTACTTTCAGACCAAAGTTGCTCCTGTGTAGTTCCTGCAGTACTTGATTCACTTATAGGTAATGTCGGTTGGACATCCGTACACGGCATTACATCACCCAATAAAGAATGAACTATGGAAATGTTGTATTGAGCAGACACGTGAACACATAAAAAACAGTGTGGGTTCCTGTACATAAGGCCATCTTGGAGTGATACAAAACTTGCTAAATAAGAATGGCAAGCACGTCGGATAGCCACTGACTCTTCTTCGCCATGTGTATTCTGACAAGTCTCGAGTCCTTCAAACTTAGGACACGTTCTCACATCCGTTAGACCAGAAGGTGGAGGAATGAAGAACCAGTTAGTACAATTTTCCATCAAGATTTGAATACGCTCTTGGAAGGTCGCATCGGCGGATATGTTCGGGATGTGGGACCCACATTCAAATTGAAAGGACCAAGGCATAACCTCAAGAATATTCTTCCTGTTGCAAATGGCACAATAAGCATTCTTAAAAGTTACTGATGACCCTAAAGAAACAGGTGCCAGAGTGAAAAAGTCGGATTCATATGCCGAGCTTTCGCAATATTCCCTCGTCAATTCGTTGCTCCAATCCGACATACACTCATCAATCATTAGGAAGGCTGTATTGTTTCCAGAAGAATGTGAATGTGGAGGGACCGTGCAAGACAACTGATCAGACACAATGTTCTTGGTTGCGTCAAGAAAGGGACTGGGAAGCGTAGTATTGGCACAACTTGTCAAGTAATCTGGGCAACAATCCTTGAAGAAGAGACATAGCGGATCACATCGGCATGTCACATCTGAGCCGGGGTTTACTGAAGTACATCCATTATGTGGGTTGCATAGAGATGAAGACTCACAGACAGGGACAGTCCAGCCTTCTATCGTGATGTTTACCATTCCTCCTTCTGGATAAGTAGACATAACGAAATGACAAATTTAGCACAATTAAGGAGTAATTTATGTTATTGAACTCTTCATATCTCATTTTTGAACAAATTTGAGACTGCTGATGTCTTAAGCCATCGTGTCTGCACTCATGGTGAAGACTTGGTCACAGTATAGTCCCCAGTAAGCTTGCCTACTAGTAGGAGCCTAATCTGTATGGATTCTATGCTCAACCAAACCAAATGAAAGTTTTTTGTAGTCCCCTGAGAGTTTACTATGACATCCTAGGCTCATGTTATCATGCATCCAGATTTCGGTAATCACAGATATAAGCCCTTGGATGTGGAGATATATAGCGAAAGATTCTGCCCTGGGGATTAAACAATTGAGACTCCTGTCCAATGTTTCTATATCTAACCTATTCATATACAAAATAGTACGTGTTATATCATTTAAAAAGAATCTTCATTTCTCCGGAGAGTCGGTGGGCCTTCCGTGAGAAATCTTTCCCGGGGAATATAGATTTGTTTTTATCTATTCCCCTCACCCCCTCCTCCTACAATCCTTATATAGAGAGGACCTGAAGAAGGCCGATGGCCCCTCCAAGTCTGGATTCACCTTTGTCGACTGTGTTGATAACGAACATAATGTCAACGTATTCAGCTTTGAAAAATTATGAGAAATCTTCTTTTTCGTTATTGCAATTAAAGCTTAGGATACTCGTATAGATAGAGAATTGCAATTTGAACAACATCGACCAGAAACTCACCGCAAAATGTCAGAAACACCAGAAAGAACAAGAACTCCGGGCAAACCTTAGTCGCCATCTTGAATGAAGAATGAAGCAATCTGATGTTGTTTGATTTGATCTACTAAGGATTCGTTCTGTGGCAAAACGTAATACGTTCTCATACAGTATCAATGAGGAAGTAGTTACAAAAAGCTTTGCCACAGACGTCGCTCAGGAAAAAAAGAGACGCCAATATCAATTTCTTTATGTATTATGCATTGTCATTAATGCATTCAGGGGCATCGACGCAGCGCTTGATCAAGATGGTGTCAGAAAACATAAAATATTTGTTCTCACACAAAATTGCGGTGAGGGGTTTTCATGGACCAGTGGATCTGAGATTATCAAAAAAATTATCAAAAAAATATGATTTTAGAAGAGTACGAATTTACAAATAGTTATTACAAAAAAAAAAAAAAAGTGAAAGGCGTAAATATTCTTTTAAAAAATGAAACGCCGATAATACCAAACAACAATGGTAATGCTTAAACCCCCTTGCAATGAAACTCCCTCTTTTTGAATCCATCGCTTTTCTTCTTGCTCTCTATATACGACCCGTATATGTAAGGAACGAGAGGGTTAAGGGGAAATGTTTAATTAGGGTAAAAGAGATCTGGGGGGAGGGGGGGGGAAGCGAAGGCGAATAAGAATAAGAGAAAGGAAACAGAGAAGACAAGGAATTATCAAAGTCACCTAGTTTTTAAAAGGTGAGATTCGTAGGAATAAAGAAATATGATTAAGAAAAAGGACCTGGGTGTAGGAAAGTTGCTCGGGTGAAATTTTGTTAATGGGAGCATATTTAGCAAATTAAGATTAAAGGAATTTAAGTGTCTTGTAGGTTGAAGTTTTGGAATGAGAGTATGATTAAAGAAGAAGCTCCAAAATATATAGTAATAGGTGTAGGGGGTATAAAAGGAGGCTTGCTCCATTTATAGAGCTATATCCAAATAATTCTTGCACCGGGGGTAATGGTATTTTGGGAGATTCTAGGACACAGAGATAGGAAAACGGGACAGGTCAGTGTGCGGACAGTAATTTTTGATTGTGTAAAGGGATTTGATTGACACTTGCACAAATTAAAAACTCATCTGGGATTGGAGAGTGTATTGGGGTTGGGTTAGGGATGCAGGGATAATCTAGGGATTAGTGGCATATAAAAAGCGATGTAAACTTGATTTGACTGGGAGAAGCGTGTAGGAGAGCAACATAGTTTACAGAGGAGAAGACAGTATAGAGCCTCCCGGGAGGAAAGGAAGGAGATAGAAGCCATGAGTCGATAGACTCTTGATGATATGTTATAAAAATTTCACCATGTTGCACATCTCTTCTCGATGTTTACCACTTTTCTTCTCTCTTAAACTGATTCCGGCATATCAGTATATAAATTGTGGAGCGAAGTTAGACCGCCGACCAAGAGACATGAAATAACTATTTCCAGCTTTGATGAGTAATGTGGAGAACCATGAATGCTGATCGACCGCTCAGAGCCGTGACGCGGAGAATCACAAATGCTGATTGACCGTTGAGAGCTGTGTTGCGGAAAGCTACGACCGTAATCACGTCGTCATCGGGAGCCGTATCAACGAGAATCGCGTTTTTTTATGAGGAAAATCCTTGGTCCTGGTTCCTGCCACAAGTATGAACTCCAACAGGCCAGCCGTGTGAATATACCTTACCTAGAAGGCCACACCTCGACATCGTGGTGATGAGTATGAACTTTAACTGAGCGTGTGGTCGACCACAAAATCTTCTCCAAGTGAACTTTTCTTTCTTTCTCTCCTCCCCTTCCCCTGCACTGTATGTTATTCTTGTTCAATGAAGACGCATTTTATTTTTTATTTTCCCTTCTCATTATTCTCCTTTTCCTTCTATTCTCTTCTCCAACTTTCCCCCTGTCCTCCTTTTCCGCCTTTTCTATCCTCTCTCTCTTTTCCCCTTTCTTCTTTTCCCCCTCCTTTTCCACCTCTTCCCTTTTCTCTCCTCCCTCTTTTCTTTTTCGTACTCTCTTCCCTTTTCTTTCTTTTCCCCCTCCCTTTTCTCCTTTCTCCCTTTTTCTTTTCCCCTTCCCCCTCCCCATTTTTTCAGGGGGCGGTTCACGTACCCCCTGTGCTCCCTGAATACGCCACTGGTATAGTCGTATAGATATACAGTTCCCTGCGTTCTGATTGGCCGGCTGGATAGACGTATAGTCGTATAGTTTTATCGTTGTACGGATAAGGGCATGCTTGGCCCGCCATATACCCCGACATATTTACCCCGACTTGCTCTTTACCCTATAGGGTAAATTGCCTCCGTCTGAACAAGACTATTGTTCAAAACTTGAAAGTATAGAGGTAAGGTCAACGACTCGAGATAAAATAAATGCGGAGGCCAACTATCATAAGCATGAATACGTTAGTCGATAGCAGCCGAATCTTTTGTCAAACTTTTTTTGCTTCATTTATTGGGGAAGTTTCAGCGTTCTCACATCCAGGTCTTCACATCCATAATTTATTCATTCATTCTCCTCTCTGAATTTGAGATTGGGATCTTTCATTCTAAGCTCCTTCATACGACATGTGCCTCCGTGGCCTAATGGATAAGGCATCGGTTTCCTAAACCGGGGATTGTGGGTTCGACTCCCATCGGAGGTGAGCTTTGTGTCTCATGGTCTTTTTCTTTTAACCACCCCACACAATACTACGTTCGAAGAAATATAACCCAAGTAGGAGAAAAGAAAGAAAGAGAGTGGGTGCAAATGGAGATGGAGATAAAGAGGCTCGATCAGTGCAGCATTTATCGATTATTTTGTTAATCAATTTTACGTACAACTTGGTTTTATATGAGATAGGGGAGTTGCTGTTAATTATAAAAGTGTGCCCCCTGACTCTCTCTCTCCCTCTCTCTCTCTCTCTCTCTCGTTTGATCTATCTTGCTCTCTCTCTCTCTTTCTCTTTACTCTTTTCTCCTATATCATTCATTCTCGCTCATAGGTATCCAGTTACACCTAGTCCTATTTCTCGTTTTTATCTATCCTTTCTCGCAGACCTGTATGAGTTATCCATATAGTCTCATTGGAATTATAATGTATGTAGGCCTGCCAAATGATCAAATTCAGACCTAAATATTTGTTTTAAGTTGAAGAAAAAATGATATTAGTTTCGTGATTGAGAACGGAAATACACACACACACATAAACATACACAAAGCATTTTGCTCCAATCTGAACAAATTTTCTATCCCTTGTAATTTACCCCTAAATGATCTTAAAAGAAAGGAACAAATCTGAAAAATTTCACTTTAGTATCACGTTTTTGTATACCTTCAACATTATCGAATAGTTTAATATTTATCTAATATACTGTTACCAGTTTTCCACCCCGTATGATATTCCGAAAATTATAATAAAAGAAAGGAACAAATTTAAAAATTTCACTCAAGTTCTGTCTTTATTTCTACACACATACATGTACATGTTTTTGAATGCGAGCCATAGCATTTAGAGCAGTTCAACATTTTCCAATAATTGAACATGAAATGCTCAAATATAAAAATCCGAAAGTTATGAAAGGAGGGTTTCGAGAGCAAACTCTGCTTTGCCGCCACAAATGTGGCGTTATTTGTAATTAAGTTTATATTTGAAGAAATAAACAAAGACATTTTAAGTTTCAACAATTCATTTCTCGCATCTTTTCATGAGTTTGTTTCTCATTATCACATTGCTTAGAATTTTAACTTCTTTCATGGGCTCGAAAAAACTAGTTATCTGCAAGAGAGTTTGGATTTAGTGAAGACAGTCCAGTTAGAATACCATCGGCTTTGCGAAGACATCATCCATCAACCACATAACGCCATTGTTCACAGACTGGTCGGCAAGGGCCACTGTAGCCTCGTTCATGTACATGTAGAGTATGCCTGTCATACCAGAAAATGATAATTTGTGGAACAATTAAGACATAATGATCCAGTACAGAGCCTTAATATACCATGACAGTAGAGAAACGGGTGGTATTCAAGAGAACAATCTCACTCCATCCTATATACCAGATATTCCAGTATGTACACTTCGATTACCATCACAACATCATGATCAGAATGGCTGTTAATCCTGTAAAACGTACATGAATACAAATGGAAACCCAGCCTTTATGGTGTCAGCTCCTGCACTGTGTAATTAGTTATACCCTTAGCAATTAGGAATATATCTGCTCTCGATATTTAAGAAAAGCCACAAAGAGCGATCTTTTCTTGCAGTAGTGTATTAATATAATAATGTTATCCAATTCGATCATGTAAAGCACAGAATATTATTTTGTAATCATAATGCACTGAACAAAATTAATACTCAGAATATAGTCTGCGCACAGCAGGCACAGGGAGCGGATGTATGTGTGCGTGTGTGTCTGTTACAAATTGATGATGTGACGTCATACAAAGTAATATCCGAATGTCGAAAACCAATTGAATATTAAGTATTGGCTTAAATATGACCATCGGAATAAATAGATGTCCTATGGGAACTCACCGTTATAGTGCTCCGGTTCCTAATGTTATAAACCAGAGCAATATAACAATGAGTTCCCACAGGACATCTATTTATTCATATAGTCATATCTCAGCCAATACTTGACATTTTCAATTGGTTTTCGACATTCAGACATTATTTTTGATGGTCTTTCGGAAAATTAAGAACAAAATGAGAAATTCTAAACTTGGATTGTTATGATGTCACAGCTTCGGTACTCCATAGGATCACGTAAGTTGTAGCGTTGGATCGATCCTCTTACAAGGCCAGGCCTATTCACGTATGACCTAATATATAATCCCACCTAGACGCTAAAACGTCATCTATTTGTGCTCAGCTATTCCATTTGAATATAATGACCAATGTGTTTGCCTTATCTTTGTAGAAGATGTAATATTTTTTAAAATCCCAAATTCAAGACCTATTAAAGCATGATGAACTATCCTTTCGGAGCTTACCTTCTTTCTTGCACATCTTAGGATTAAAGAGGACTTTCTGGCCTTGTACAGTGGTAATGAGAGTACCAGGTCTGATGACGGTGGAGT